TTCATATTTCATCTGCATGTCCTGAGCAAGTCTCACTTTTTCTTTACTTTTTTTTAAATATATATTTCATTGATTTTTTTTACAGAGAGGAAGAGGGAGGGATAGAAAGTTAGAAACATCAATGAGAGAGAATCATCGATCAGCTGCCTCTTGCACACCCCCTGCTGAGGGTGTGCCCACAACCAAGGTACATGCCCTTGATCGGAATCGAACCCGAAACCTTTCAGTCCGCAGGCCGACGCTCTATCCACTGAGCCACAGCGGTTTCGGCAAGTCTCACTTTTTCGAGTTTTTTTGAAACGTGCATCTAGTGTACTGGCTCAGAGTTGAGCCTGTTTTGACGCTGCCCGTGTGGAGGTTGAGGGGAGTTGTCTCATGGAGATGATGCTCCCTAAGCATGAACTCGGGCATCGTTCCCATTTCTGTAATGGGCTCTGGCTCCTCTAAATGCATCAAATAGAATCATCGCCAGTAACGACATTTCAGCCCGGGCTGCCGGCGGGCTGACCAGCCACAGGGTCTCCCTGGACTCTGGGTCCTGAGTGTCGTCAGCTCTCGGGTCCCATGTCCCCTCTGCAGCATACATCGTGGCCGTGTACCACAGCATGAAGGAGGAGCTGAGGCGCAGCGCCCCGGGCAGCACCCCCGTGAGGAGACGGGCGGCCAGCCAGCCGTCGCAGGAGGCCCGCGGGGCACCTGGAGCCCTTCCCGGTGAGCGCACCCTTGCTGCCAAGACCATGCACCTGTGACCTGACCCCTCTACCCCCCTCCAGGGCAGGGTCCCCGAGTCGCTTCCTCGGCATCCTTGTCACTGTGAAGTGGGAGCACACATGTCACTTCTCTTTCCAGGAATGATCACCTTCTCTCAAGATTATGTGGCCAATGAGCTCACTCAGAACTTCTTCACCATCACCCAGAAGATTCAGAAGAAAGTCACGGGCTCTCGGAACTCCGCTGAGCTCTCAGAGATGTTTCCTGTCCTGCCCGGCTCACACTTGGTGCTCAATAACCCTGCCCTGGAGTTCATCAAGTATGTGTGCAAGGTGAGAGCCGGAGGAGGAAACTTATTTACCCCCAACACTGCCCACCGTTCTGTACACTCCGTGTGAGCTATCAGTGAGGGGCCCTCTGATGGGGCCTGGGCCTAAGACCACCAGGAGGGAATGATGTCTGGGCAGAGGGGGTGAAGGCCGTGGGGTGGAGTGATCTGGGGGTGCTGGTGAAACAGCAGGTGCTCGAGGTCCTGTGAGGCTAATGGATGAACCAGGGACCACACGGAGCTCCCAAAACACCCAGGCTTCTGTGGAGCTCAGAGGAGAGCTTGCGTGAGTGCCAAATACCTTTCTGGGAAAGGAGACTGAATCAAAGGTAGAATACTGTTACCAGACGAGACCAAGCAGCACCTCTCTGCTCATGAAGTCACCTCCCGGCCACTGCATCTCCCGTGACGGACACACCAGGATCAAGTGGCAGCAGAGCTTTAGGGGAGGGAGAGACCTCCTGACAGGAGGGTTAGCTGGCAGCCCCTCGGCTCTGCAGGCCCCTGGGTGGGCCAGGCAATCCCTCACCTGAGAGTGGACATCAGCCACTTCGCACGTGAGATTGTAAGGCTCCAGGAGACAGGACTGCCTGTCACTCGGGGGGAAAGGAGCCAGTGAGGATGACCGGCAGAGCCCAAGTCCCCGGAGGGAACCACTGCTGCAGAGGAGGCAGCTGATGGGATGGGGAGTGTGAGGGGGTGCTCGGCCACACGGTCTTCAGTCCAGACAGAGCAGCAGGAGGCCCGGAGCTGCCCTCACCGCCCCGTTCTCTGCAGGTCCTGTCTCTGGACACAAACATCACCAACCAGGTGAACAAGCTCAACAGGGACCTGCTCCGCCTGGTGGACGTGGGCGAGTTCTCCGAGGAGGCCCAGTTCCGAGACCCCTGCCGCTCCTATGTGCTCCCCGAGGTCATCTGCCATAGCTGCAACTTCTGCCGGGACCTGGATCTGTGCAAAGACCCGTCCTTCTCCCAGGTGGGAGCGCCCACCGGGAAGGGCACCTTGTGGGTGACATCCTAGCTTTGGCGTGAACTAGGACCTGGCACCTTTCCTAAGGCACTCGGCTACCGGGTGCAAGAACACCATCCAGTAAGCATGTTAGGACGGTGTCGGAGTGGAAGCATGCCTGGGGCCAAGTGACTGCCGCACGCCGTTATGTGCCTCTCGCTCATAAAGGCTCTGCCCTGTCTCCTCAAAGCTGGTTCTCTTGGAGGGCACTGCCAGGGAGGTGGGCAGAGGGTGACCTGCTCCCTTTCTGCCCAGGACGGGGCTGTGCTGCCCCAGTGGCTCTGCTCCAACTGCCAGGCCCCCTTCGACTCCTCGGAGATTGAGATGGCCCTGGTGGAAGCCCTGCAGAAGAAGCTGATGGCCTTCACCCTGCAGGACCTGGTGAGCAGTGGGCCTCAGGTCATGACCTGGTCTGTCGAGATGACCACCTGTTGGGTCAGGCCTCATCCACAGCCCATGACTCAGTCTTAAGGCTCCTGTTGGGCACCTGGCCTCCCGGGCCTTCCCTTCTGGTGGAGGGAGAGAGATGGCAAATAAGATAAAGGGTGTGAGTGGGCTGAGGGTCCAGACCCAGCTGGTGTGTGTGTGTGTCACAGAGTGCTCAGCATTCAGTGTGGGGACTGGGGACCATGGGGTCTGGGCAGGAACATTGGTGCCTGGTGTGACTGGGTAGGTGGCCCACAGCGAGGGGGGAAGCAGCTGGTGTTGGGTGAGCCCGCTGTGTGGTCTGGCTTTGATCCACAGTAGAGGTGCGGGCGGGGAGTGGGAGCTCTTGACTGGCGCTTCTTCGTTTCAGGTCTGCCTGAAGTGCCGGGGCGTGAAGGAGACCAACATGGCCGTGTACTGCAGCTGTGCGGGCGGCTTCGCCCTCACCATCCACACCAAGGTCTGGCTGCTGTTCTCACCCACTCCGCTCTCCCTACACTCTGGGCCTCTGCCCACATCCCTAATCTCTTCTGGGACTGGCTCCCATGGCGACTGGTTCTTCTGCAGGTCTTCATGGAGCAGATCAGAATCTTCCGGAACATTGCACAGCACTATGGCATGTCATACCTCATGGAGACCTTGGAGTGGCTGCTGCAGAAGAACCCCCAGCTGGGCCATTAGCAAGGCAGGCTCGTCCCTTCTCTGTCCCAGCTTCTAGCTGGAGACCATCCCCAGGACTCGGCACCAAAGAAAAGGACCCTCAGGGTGCTTCCGGGGAGGGATCGCCTGGCCCAGACCAGCCAACCAGCCAGAGCAGGAAGCGGCCCTCCTGGGCTCCTGTCCCAGGCTTGGTCAGGGTGGCCAGGGGCCCATGGGCCCCGATGGGTGGTTCTTGTGCATAAACACGTGTGGCCTCTGCGCTGTCGCAGGGCCTGGCCCTCCTGCCTCCCCCGTCCCGCCCCCCACATCCCCTTTGCCCTCGGGCCTTCTGTTTGAGCTGAAGGCCAGACCCCAGGGCCAGGGACGCCTAGGCGGAGACAGCTCTGCTCTGCAGCCACTGTGACCTCCGAGACGCCCTCCAGGGCTTCACACGTGCGTGTGGCGAGTTCCAGGAATCAGCCCTGAGCCCTTGGGGACCTGGGTGTCTTTTGGACAGCAGTTCCCGGTTCCAGGACGGCCGGCATCTCTGCACTTGGACTTGGACTTCCCTGTAGAGACTTCCTGGTCAGTAAGGAGGGTCAGGGGGGCAGGGGTGTCTGCATCAGGTGGTTCCCTCTTCTCGGCTGGGCTTCTCAGATGGGGCTTGACCATACCACCTGCCCTCAGAGCCTACCTGTGCCCCGAGGAGGCCTGGGCACAGGGCACACCATTGATCATGGGTTGTACAGCATTTGTTACCTCTTGGACTTAGAAAAGTGATCTTCCCCCACAAGTTTTTAGGTTCTTTCCTTCGTGGGAAGGGGAAGCAGCAGCTTCATCAGGTGGAGGAGCTTTCTGTTCTTGTTCCTCAGCTCAGGTTGTCCTGGGACCTGGACCCTGCAGGGCACCAGCTCAGTGTCCAGCCCAGGTCTGGAGCCTTTGCTGAGTGCCAGCCTCTCCCTCCATCTGTCTTCAGCCCCAGAACCTAAGACGAGCTCTGTGCACCTTTTACACAAAATAGGGCTGCGAACAGGACAAAAAACCCACCCACCCAATGTAAGAAATGCCCAGTCGGTGAGGTGGCAAATTCAGAAACCTTGAATAGGAGGGCCGGGGGCCTCACAGTCTGGTTTGGTTCTTACTAATTTCTGTTGAAGTGTGAGCTGTATGTTTGCACACAGCTTCCCCGTCTCTGGGAGGCAGGGAGGCTGACCAGCTGGCAGCTGTCTGTGCGCCAGCCTTGACCCCTGGGTACCACCCGCCCGGCTGGGCCAGGCCCAATGGCCAGGAGAAACCTGATGCTGGCTGGAAGGTGGATGGAGCCCACGTCAGCCCCAAATGGAGATCAAATCAAATTAGGGCGGGGGGGGGGGTGCACTAACGGCTTCCTGGTAATGATGCTGGAGACAGATGTGCAGGGGGAGGTGGGTCTGGCCGACAGCAGCACCCCAGACACTGCACGCTTGTCCCTGAAGCAGGATGGGCCCTGGGCACCCTTGTTTCTGCAGCTCCCGGCTGTGTCCTGGAGGTCAGCTTGGGTGGGGGCATTTGGGGTGCTAGGCCCTGGTCACTCTGCTTGGGAAACCTGAGCCCCTGGCCCTGGTTCTTGAGCTGCAGTCCAGCCCTGACTGGAAAAGCCAGTTTCTCTGAAACTAGAGCTGGACGTCTGTGAGCCAGACCCACGGGTGTCAGGCATTTGGGTGGCCTGTGCAGCCAGTGTCTGGGGGTTGGGGGAGGAGGAGGGATGCTGGAGGTGGCCGGGTGGGGTCAAATGGAGCGTTTGCTGGCTGCAGCTAGTGGAGCAAGCTCAACAGTCAGGTGTAGGCAGGTGGGAGATCATTCAGCCCTGGGGGCCCCAGGGCTGGTATGGTCTGAACCCTCCCCTGGAGCTTGGGAATGATGGGACCCCTGGTGAGGTCTGTGTAAGGTGCTTGGCTCATGCCTCCTCACATCTGCACACGCCACCACTGTTGCTAGAGAAACCATGTCCAGCCAAACTGCTGTGCTGCTCAGTGTGATGAGTTGTACCTGAGGACACGGAGCCAGGTTACCCACAGGCCTGGCGGGGCTAGTGCTCCTCCCTGCCCACCCACTCACCACACCAGTGGCAGCCCAGCAGCTTTCCCTGGTACCACTCAACCCTCCCTCCTGGCTGCCATCCTTTCCCTTATGTGGGGCTGGGCTGACCCCTACAGGGAGCTGGTGAAGGCACAGACCAGGGCAGTGCTGAGACAAGGCAGGGTCGTCATGCACCCAGCCTGCCCCACCCCACCCCCGCTGGCCCCGGTCAGATGTGCTGGGCCAGGCTGGACCAGGGCAGCCGGGAGCCTGGGCCCTGCGTGGCTGGCTAGGCACCTGCAGCCCCTGCACAGGGACCTCCTGCTGTGTGTCTGTCTCCACGGCCTCCACGCTTTTCTCAAAACACAGGGCACGGTGGTACTGGGCACAGGTTTATTGGGTTCTGGCTAGGAGCCCGGCAGCGGGCGTGGGCGGGAGGAGTGAACATGGGGGGGGGGGCGGCTGGGAGCAGAGTGCTACCCCCTTTCAGCCCACTGCCCAGCTGCATGGGGCCCTTGGTTCCCAGCTGTGAGAAGGCGAGTGTGGGCAGGGATGGGCTCCATGCTGGTCCCACCTGCTTCAGGCCAGCCTTTGCAGTGAGGGGTGGAGGGGGCTCAGAGCTGGGCTAAACCTCGGGGGTCTGTGAGCGTGGAGTCCTGCTGGGGAGGCGCCGAGGCCCCGGGCCCTGGTCCTGCACCCCGATCAGGAGTGTCCACCATCTGCTCAGATGGGGCAGAGGTGGGGCCAAGCCGTGATGGTGGGACAGCCTGGGCCTGGCTCTGCCCCCCATTCTGTGGTCTGCCCGGGTCTGTAGAGCAGGTACAGGGGGGCGGAGGGGCCTGGCCCAGAACAAGGGCCAGGGTCACAGGCCAGCTACCCGGGGAGTGCTGTGGCGTACACACCTTGTCGAATTTCTTGTGGCTGTAGACTTTGTTTTTGTTCATGAACGTTAGCAAGATCCAGTCGCACAAGAAGGAGCCCTGTGGCCAGCAAATCACATGTGAGGGCTTGGCCTGATCACCCAGCACCACACGCACATGCGTGCCCAGACCCCAGGGAGTACTCCTTACCACCCCGATGGAGGTCAGCGCCGTGGCCAGGTTAATGATGGTGGGGATCAGGCTGAACTTGCCCGCCTGGGGAGAGGAGGCTGCCTCAGACCAGCAGGGGGTCGTGTGGTGGGGGCATGGAGCTCGGCCGGCCCACCTGAACCCGTGAGGAGGGCCGGCTGGCCTACCTGTCCGTGCACAATGACATCAATGCGGATCCCGTAGGCCTTGATGAGGGTGCGGGTGGTGCTGCCGTTTATCATGTAATACTTAGCAAACCTGGGGCGGAAGGACCCGGAAGCATGTCAGAACCTGGAACTGAAAGGCCAGATGCTGCCCGACCCTGAGGAACTGGCGGTGGGCGTGCCTGTCGCCAGAGGACAGCCCCACGACTGCCCATCCCTGGCCCCTCCTCGTTTGCCCCTAAGCCACCACACGGGGTGAGGGCCCAGAGGCCCAGGGCCCAGGTACCTGAAGTTGTAGCCAGAGGAGGCCGGGGTGTGCTTGGGATCGAGTCTCCGGAAGGAGTACTTGGGGTTGCAGTTGGATGCCGGCAGGTCCAGATCACAGTCCCAGTTGATGATGACCCCAATGACACCCCCCTGCCCAGAAGTGGGCACAGAGATGGGGTCAGGGCGGGCACACAGGACCCTCACCCTGGGTCCCACCCTGACATGGTGCTGGGGGTGCACATGCGGGGGGGCAGCTTGGGGCTGAGAACCGGCGGGGGGGGGGGGGGGGGAACAGGAGGGGAAGTCGGTGATTAGAGGAGCCACGCATGGCCAGACAGGGCGCCCAGTCCTCGGCAAGCAGGGCCGCGGCCGGGTACGCCCTCACCGTGCGGGCCAGCTCGGTGAAGTTCTCCCCGGCCTGCTCCACGATGAAGCCCAGCCGGAAGATGGGGCAGTACAGGTGGGACGCCTCGTCGAACAGGCAGTGCTTCAGGTAGCCGTCCTTCCGCATCTCAATGTTGCCCCTGAGGAGCCAGGCGAGGCGGGGGCATCCTCAGGAGGCAGCTCCCTCCCCTCCCGGCCCGGCCCTTCCCACCCGAAGGCCCTTACTTGGAGAACTGGAACTTGGGGTAGTGGATGCTGTTCTTGATGAGGATGGTGAAATTGGGGGCCATCTTGCCAAGAAACTGGCTGCGGAGACAGACTGCACATGTTTAGTCTCCCCACCTCTGCAGCCACACTGTCCCCACCCCCACACACCCGCTGAGGAGGGAGGAGCAGGCGGGCCTGGGTCCCAGGGGGGTGGGGCGCACCTGACGGAGGCCCCATCTTCCACTGGGCACCAGCCGAACACCTCGCAGGTCTTGGAGTCCCCGTGATAATAGGGTACACAGCGCCCCGTCCGGACACCTGTGGGCACACGCACTCAGGCGGAGAGGGCGCCCTGGCCCTGCATCCCCACCACCCTGGGCGCACACCCACCGTTCCCCAGCATGTCCAGCTCCCCGGCCACGCAGTCCTCATCTGAGTGGCAGGTGGCGTTGGTGACCCTCGTGCTCTGGGGAGGAGAGGGCTCCGTCACCTTCCCACCAGGGACAGCACCCGCCCCGGCCCCCCTCCCACGGGCCTCACCTCCGGACAGGTGCCCTGCGCCTGGGAGGGGGTAGCCTCGATCCTGGTGATGATGCTGAACACGCTGCCTCCCTGGGCTCGGAAAGAAGGAACTCCCGTTGGCCCTCCCGGCAGCTCCCTGCCTCAGCCCCACCCGCCCGCCGGGGCGGGGCGCACCTCCGGGGGCTTCACGTACTCCTCCACGTCCCACACTTTGTGCTCCGAGGAGGTGATGCCCTTGACCTTGGTGATGACGGAGCTCTCGGGACCCGTCTCCCGGTCCTGGTAGCTCTTCTGCACGATGAACACGTACCTGCGGGGACACAGCCAGCTCTGGGGCGTCCGGGGCCCGCGCCCCGCCCGCCTGCCCCTCTCCAAGCGCCCGGGGCCCTGCGTGCTCTCCGCCCCAGGGACCCCGCGCCCCCAGCCCCGACCCCTGCGCACCCACCACACGAAGTAGAGCAGGATGAGCAGCTGCACCACGCGGTACACGACGCCCAGCTGCCGGTTCCGCACCACGATCACCTTGGGCGTCTCGTAGTCCCAGAAGGCAGACCAGCAGCTCCGGGCCAGGCGCCGGGCCGCGGCCGCGCCCGCCGGGGGCTTGGACTCCGCCGCCGCCATGGCCCCGCCGCGGGAGCCGCTGCCCCGGCCGCTGTGGGGCACCGCGGGGCGGGGGCCAGGCTCCGGGGCGTGGTCTCGCCCGCCCCGCCCCATTACCGCCCCAAGTCGGGGTCCCGGGGCTGCGATGTGGGGGGTGTCACAGGTGCACCCGGAGCGGGGCTCCCGGGAGGGCCCGGCTGGGGCGGGGGGTCCCCGAGGAGGACGCGGGTCTAAGGGATGCTCCGGGCACAGGACTTCCCTCCCGTCTCCACCGGCGGCCGCTAAGCAGTGAGAACAGCTCGAGGGCAGTCCTTCCTATGCAGGACGCCCGCTGGCCAATGCGCCCCGCAGCTAGACTGGGCCTTGGACCGAAGGGACCCGGGTTCGATTGGGTCAAGGGCACAGGCCGGGGTGGCGGGCTCCATCCCCAGTGGGGCACGTGCAGGAGGTGGCCGATCCATGACTCATCATTGATGTTTCCATCTCTCTCCCACTCCCTCCCTCTCTGAAGTGAATAAAAATGTTTTAAAATAGTAATGAAGCCAAAGCCAGTTTTGCTCAGTGGATGATAGAGCATTGGCCTGCGGACTGAGGGTCCTGGGTTCGATTCCGATCAAGGGCATGTACCTTGGTTGTGGGCACATCCCCAGTGGGGGTTGTGCAAGAGGCAGCTCATCAATGTTTCTAACTCTCCCTCTCTCTTCCTCTGTAAAAAAATTAAAATGTATATATACGTTTTTTATTTAAAAATATGGAACGGCCGAAACCGGTTTGGCTCAGTGGATAGAGCGTCGGCTTGGGGACTGAAAGGTCCCGGGTTCAATTCCGGTCAAGGGCATGTACCTTGGTTGCGGGCACATCCCCAGTAGGGGGTGTGCAGGAGGCAGCTGATTGATAACTCTCATCGATGTTTCTAGCTCTCTATCTCCCTTCCTCTCTATACAAAATCAATAAAAATATATTTAAAAAAATAAAAATATGCAACGCTTCACGAATTTGCGTGTCATCCTTGCGCAGGGGCCATGCTAATCTCTATCGTTCCAATTTTAGTATATCTGCTGCCGACACGAGCACTTAAAATATATTTTTAAAAAATGATAAAAGTGCACCACGCCGCCCTGGCCGGTGAGCGCAGTGGTCAGCATCGCCCACACCGAGGGTCTTGGGCACAGACCAGGTTCCATCCCCACCCAAGAGGCAGCCACCCAGCCACGACCTTTTCCTCTCCCCTTCCTCACTCCTTCCCTCCCTAAAAACCAGTGGAAGGAAGAGCATCCTCTGATGAGAATTAACAAAAAGCGGCCCGCACCTAGAAAGCTGGGCTAAAAGTCTGAATTCCTGAGACGCAGAGAAGCCCGCACCTCACAGCACCGCCCAGGGGCGAGCGCCCCCTGCCGGCCGCCTGAGGCATTTCCTCTAAATACCCGCAGTGTTTTCTCCTGATCTTTTCACTCTTTTGGGATGGGCTTCCTGTCCTCAGGGATATGAGCTGGGCCGCGGGAGAGCTTAGGGGTTCCCTGATGAGGTAGCCCTGTTTGTGGGGTGCACCCACCAGAACTCAGGGAGCTGCCCAAACCCGGGGCGCACACACCAGATGGAGGTTTAGATCAGGCATCTCGCTACCAGCTGGCAGGAAATCTGAGAAATCGAGTGGAAATTCCTAATGCCAATTTGTAACCACAGCCAATCATGGCTCTTTACTTAAGGCATTTTACAAGCAAAAAAACTATGTTAATCTATTGAATTCTAAAACCTTTGTTTAAAAGGAAACGTCACTCTCTGGCAAGGAGAGAATAAAAATTTAAAAAACCTAAAATCAAAGTTTTCAGTAAAAGTTCAACTGGATTTCGTTTGCTAAAGAGCTTTATTGAGATACAGCAGGCCAGACTGCTCAGGATGTACAGTTGGTTCTGGTATTTTCACATGGCTCTGCAAACATCACCAGGATCTAATTTTACTTAATATTGTTATTGGTTTCAGAGAGGAAGGAAGAGGGAGATAGAAACACCGACGATGAGAGCGCTGCCTCCTGCAGGCCCCCCACTGGGGATCCAGCCTGCAACCTGGGCTTGTGCCTTCGACCGGAATTGAACCTGGGACCCTTCAGTCCACAGGTCAACGCTCTATCCGCTGAGCCACACTGGCCAGGGCTCCATGATCTAATTTTAGAACATCTCGCTCTGGGCACCCCTGCCTGCCGAAAAGAAACCCCAAACCCAGGCCGGCCCCTCCTCTCCTCTCCTCCATGCTGTCCCTGCCGGGCGGCGATACTGTCTGCTCCTGGGGTTTCAGCTGACGCCTCAGGCACTCAGCCCAAGCTCAGGTGACTTCGTGTCTCCTCCCCCCGCCACCCTGGCCAAATGGGGGCGGGGAGGGGGAGGCTGCTGCCTGGGGCGGGCCATGGGTCCTGCTGGGACTCGGGCAGGGGTTCGGGTTCGGGGGCAACAGGCGTTGGCCACCCCAGGCTCCAGCATCCTGCATCCTGGCCGTGGACGTGCTTGTCCAAGGCCTCGGGGACAGTCAGCGCCCCCGCCATCCGAGCCCACTGCCCCGTGGAGCCCAGAGAGACAGTAAAATGCTCTTTCATGCCACTGAGTTTTGAGGTGCTTTGCCAGATCCTGGCTAAACCAAATCCACCCAATCCCAGGTCTCCTCCAGGCTTCTAGCCATCCACACCGAGCCACCTCCTCCTGGGCTGTTGGCTCCCGGCTCCCTCCCCACCCCCACTGCCCGCATTCCGCAGCTCCCTCCCGACACCCAGCCTGGCCTCCCTGGTGCCCATTTCTCAAGCTCTGATCCTGATCTTGCAGCTGAAACACTTGTGACCCTGATGGAACGAGGCTTGCCCTCCTTGGGCCTGACCCCTCCCATCCACCGCAACACCTGGCTTCACCCCACTTCTCCCTCCCGTCTCCTGCACACCCCCTTCCCCACTCCTTACAATACCCTCCCTGCCCGGCCGGTGTGGCTCAGTGGTTGAGCTTCAGCCTGTGGACTAAAGGGTCCCAGGTTCGATTCCAGTCTAGGGTATGTATCCTGGTTGCGGGCACATCCCTGCTGGGAGGTGTGCAGGAGGCAGCTGATTGATATTTCTCTCTCATCAATGTTTCTAACTCTCTATTCCTCTCCCTTCCTCTCTGTAAAAAATAAAATATATTTTTTAAGAAAGCAAGGTAATGCACGTTTAAAAAAAAAAAACAAAAAAAAACTACCCTCCATCACCCAGGCCTTCCCTCTGGGCACCCCCTCCACCCCTAGAGGCACCCCCACTCTCCCTGTGACCTATCTGGTGATGGTGAACCTGGAGCTCTGAGGTGATGGGAGGCCCAGCCAGCTCCTCAGCACGGCCTGGCACGGAGCCTGGCACCCAGCCAGCACCGAGGCAGCGGGAGGATGTCTGCTGTGAACACGCTGTGCAGAAATTAGTGAGAGGACACTGTTCTGAGAGCACCACGCTGTCTGCCCAGAGCTTGGCCCCGGCCCCCTCCCATCCACCGCCCAGCCGGCTCCCGCGGATGCTGGTGGGAGAGGAGCCACACAATGGACAGGGGCCAGGCTGGCTCCTTGGTCTGGTCCTGGTTGGAAATGGGGCAGAACCGGGAGGCTCTAGTCACTGACCAAGCTGGCCTTCCGACCATGGAGGTGGCTGGCTCGGGGGATGTGTGGGCCGAGGGCACCGGACGTGGCCCGGTCTCGGGCGGGTGATGAAAGACGCGCCCTCGGGTGAAAGGCGGGGGCGGGCAGAGGGAGGAGGGTTGAGAGGTGGCCCAGCGGTTCTGCCAGGGGGCTCTGCCGTCCAACCTGGCCGGTCCCTCTCCCCGCAGCCGAGCAGGCGGACCGAGGTGAGGCAGGGCTGCTGTCGCTGGGGCCGGTGTCAGCGGCTGGGGCAGCTCTTCTACGGGGAGCATCCGCGCTCACGCCTCCACACGGTCTGTTTCTCTGTGTGATGGAAGCTGCCTGGGCGTGGGGGACGCTCCTCAGACCGGACATCGGCAGGCTGCCCGATGGCGCTCACCGGGTGCCTGCTGCTGCTGCTGCTCTGCGCGAGGCCCGTGTCTGCGGTGACAATGGAGAATAAGATCCTGGTTGTGTCCTTCAAGGTAGGCTCCAGGCCCGCTGCCCTGTCCCCGGGAGGCCTCCACACGCCGGGCGCCCTGGCCCTTTCCAGAGGGTGCCCGGCCCTCTGCCCTGTGCCCGCTCCCTGAGGCCCCAGGACCCTTGACCCTCCGGGTCAGTTCTTCAAAGTCCTGCTTCTCAACCCGAAGCTGGTCTGGTCTGGGAGCCACAGGCCCAGCTTTAACTCTTAGCCAGTAGATTTTTAAATATATATATACATTTTTTCCCACTGATTTTCTACAGAGAGGAAGGGAGAGAAATAGTCAGAAACATTGATGAGTGGAAACCGGTGTGGCTCAGTGGATGGAGGGTTGGCCTGCAAAAGGTCCCAGATTTGATTCTGATAAAGGACATGGACCTTGGTTTCCCGCACATCCCCAGTAGGGGGCGTGCAGGAGGCAGCTGATCAATGTTTCTCTTTCATTGATGTTTCTGACTCTGTCCCTTTTCCTTCCTCTCTGTAAAAATCAATAAAATATATTTAAAAAGAAAAAAAAAAGAAAAAAAAGAAACATCAATCAGCTGCCTCCTGCATGCCCCCTACTGGGGATGTGCCCAAAGCCAAGGTACATGCTCTTGACCAGAATTGAACCCAGGACCCTTCAGTCCACAGGCCAACGCTCTATCCACACTGAGCCACACTGGTCAGACTTTTATATAAAATCTATTAAAAATATAGAAAGGAATCAGAGAGAGAGAGGAGAGAGAGAAAAGAGAGAGAGCATCAATGATGAGAGTGAGTCACTGACCAATGCCCCCTGCACGCCCCACACTGGGGATGGAGCCCACAAATCGGGCTTGTGCCCTGACTGACCTGGAATTGAACCCTGCCCTCCTGGTTCCTAGGTCTACGCTCAACCCCTGAGCCACACCGAGGGCGGCTTCTGTGGCCCTTCTCTCCCCCTGCGGCTCGGCCCCTCACTAGCTTTCCCAACCCCGTACCTCAGTTTACCACTGTCCCCGTGGCTCAGACAAACACCCACCAGAGCTCCCTCCCTCACCCCCTCTCCCCCCGCCCCCGGGCCAGCCACCCCCCCTACTCTGAGAATGTTCCAGAAACCTTGCCAGGCTCGACGGGTCTGAAGGCCGGGGGCCGGGCGGGACCAAGGGAAGCGGAGAACAGGGGGGCTCCCTCGGGGTCTGCACCGCCGGGAGCAGATCCGGGCTGACCTTGCAGAAGATCGGGGAGCCGTGTGTGCACAACGTGGAGTGCCAGAGCGGGTGCTGCACCACCAACAGCCTGAACCCCCAGAAGTTCTGCACGACCCAGACCCTCCTGGGGCAGTGCCTGCCCTGGCGGAAGGTGTGGGTCCGGGGGAGGGAGGAGGTGCAGGGGGAGGGGGGAGGGGGGGAGGGCCCCCAGGAGGCACCGCCCCTTGGGTGTCCAGGTGGGCGGTGGTGGGGGGAGGAGGTCCCGGTGGGCGGTGGGGGGAGTAGAGGGTCCGGGTGGGCGGTGGGGGGCGTAGAGGGTCCCGGTGGGCGGTGGGGGGAAGAGGGGGGTCCCCGTTGGCACCGCCCCTGGGGGTCCCGGTGACAGGAAGGCCCTTTGTCCCGCAGCCCATCGGCTACTCGTGCACAGACAAGACGGAGTGCAGCAGCAACTGCTGCGTCACCAACAACTACAACCCCTTCCTGTTCTGCACGCCCCGCAACATCTTCCTCCAGTGCCTGGAGTGGCGCAAGGTGAGGGCGGGGCGGAGTGCGGGGCTGGGGCGGGCCCCCGCGGCGGCCTCAGGGCCAGGGTCCAGGCGCCTCTGTCTCCAGCCCAACCACGACCACTGCGAGGACCACACGGAGTGCCGCAGCCTGTGCTGCCTCCGCCTGACCGAGGCCAGCTCCCCGCGCTGCGTGCGCCGCAGCGGGCTCCTGGCGCGCTGCCTGCCCCAGGTGAGTGCAGGCGGGCGGGGCGGGGGCGGCCAATGGGGCGGGGCGGGCGGGGCGGGGGCGGCCAATGGGGCGGGGCGGGCGGGGCGGGGGCGGCCAATGGGGCGGGGCGGGCGGGGCGGGGGCGGCCAATGGGGCGGGGCGGGGCGGGCGGCCAATGGGGCGGGGCGGGGCGGGCGGCCAATGGGGCGGGGCGGCCAATGGGGCGGGGCGGGGCGGGCGGCCAATGGGGCGGGGCGGGCGGGGCGGGGGCGGCCAATGGGGCGGGGCGGGGGCGGCCAATGGGGCGGGGCGGGGCGGGGGCGGCCAATGGGGCGGGGCGGGCGGGGCGTGGGGCGGCCAATGGGGCGGGGCGTGAGGCGGGGCGGGCGGGGCGGGCAGCCGTGGTGGGCGGAGGCTGGACGGGCGTTGGAAGGAGGCCCCGGGCAAAGGAAGGTCCGGTCCTTCGGGCTCAGTGGGAACAGTGTTGAGGCGTCGGGCGAAGGGCGGGACCGTGGGACCGGAGCACCTGGGGCAGCGGACAGGGCCCGCCACCACCCCAGGCTGGAGGCTGAGAGGACCCTCCCAGGCTGACCCTCACGGGGTGGGGTTGGGGGGCAGATGGAGGATGCAGACCGGGCACAGGGGCCGGAAGTGGGTGCTGGGGATGACACAGCACTGACTGACTGTGAAGGGGTGTCTGACCCCCCCGTGTTCGGCACCCACATCCTGACCAGCACCCAGGCCCCACGAGTGCGCAGAATGTGCCCAATCGTGGCCAAATAAGCCATGTGTCCGAGGGAGCCGAGCCCCCCTCAGCGAAGGGGGGACGTGGGGCTCTTAGGCCGCTGGCTCGGTGTGCTCTCACTGTCCTGTGTCCTCAGTGACACGGGCGGGACTGGTGTGCAGCGAGCGGCCCCTCAGCAGGAGTCCGGCCGCCTTCACCAATAAACTACCGACGGAGCCAACGTGGGTGTTGTCACGTCTATTTTCTTCAGACAATAAAGGCAAAAATGATCCGCAGAAAACTTGGGGACGATGACAAAGCAGGGTCTGCTCCGATCTGGTGCCACGGTGACCCCCTAAGAGACCAGCTGTGACCGGGCAGAGGAAGGCACTCGTCCCACATACACACACCCCCACCCCTCCTGGGTGTTCCGTAATAGAGACACTTGTGTTTTTTGTCTTTGCAAGTAAAAATAGCCACTCAAACCCGGGCCAGCGTGGCTCAGTGGTTGAGCATCAACCTAGGAACCAGGAGGTCACAGTTACAATTCCCGGTCAGGGCACAGGCCGGGTTGGGGGCTCCAACCCCAGTGGGGGCCGTGCAGAAGGCAGCCGGTCCATGATTCTCTCTCATCAAATGTTTCTCTCTGTCCCTCCCTTTATATAATCAATAATGATATATTTAAAAATAATAGTTATCCCAAACTAAAGACTCTGTAAACACGGCTGACGGTATAGGAAGCAGGAAACCAAGGTCCCACACGAAAAGGCTGTGAGCTCCATCCCTGGTCCGGGTGCTCCCTGGAGGCAACAGGTGAACCCCTCACCTGGGAGGGAAGCATGAAGCTACCGGCGCAATCCCAAGGTCAGCCACCAGGTGGCGGTGTGGGCCTTCACAGGTCACAGAGACCGCAGGTGGCGGGGGGGGGGGGGGGGGGGGGGGGGGGGGGGGGGTTTGAGGGTCAGAGGCCACAGGTGCCCCGGGGGATGTCCATGTGAGACCCACAGGACCTCACAGGCGCGGACGGCCAGAGGGACAGCTGGGCGGGCCGTGGCTGGTGCCGGCTGAGGAAACAAGTCGATTTTCCGTGATCCGTGGAGTTCGCTTCTAGAACCCACTTGGCAGGGAGTCTGAGGGTCCAGAGGGGTGCCCGGAGCTGGGGTGCTGCCCCCTCCCTCGCCCCAGGGACACCCCCATGGCTGAGGGGTCACCGTGCCCACAGGGCGGGCTGCAGGGACATATACAAAGGGGGCCTGGACGCAGAACTGAATGACGTCACATATATTAATAGCCTATTTACATTTGTTCTTTTTTACAAACTGAAAAAGAAACCTTCTTACACTTCTGCATAATAAGGCGAAAAGCCAGGTGGTACATTAATATTCTTTTAATATAATATCTGTAACTTCGGTTCCAAGTGCCGAGGGCGGGCGGGGCTCAGCCTGAGTGGGGGCCTCACAGTGTTGTTGGACAAAATGACCGTTTTTTCTCCATAAATAAGACGAAAAAAACAAAACAAACACCAAAACCCAAACCCCGGGGCGCTGGGAAAGGATCTGAGGCTGTTAAACTGCAAATCGGAACTAAAAGTTAAAAAGCAAAACTTTTGTTTCCTTTTAAACGTCTAAAGAGCACAAAATTGAAAAAAATACAAATCTATTATAAACGCTCTCACCTGTGGGAAAAATGTACAAACTTGGATTTTCTCCCAAGAGCCTGGTCTGGGCCCAGAGGCTGTGGCTCCCCGGGGCCGCGGGAGGGCGCCCGGCGAGGCCTGTGCTTAGTCCGGGCCGGCGGCCGGCGGGCGGGGTCCGCGCCAGGCGGCCCGCAGCTACCGCGCCTCCACCTCCGGGGGGTTCCGGGACGGAGAGAAGTCGGGCGCCTCGGGAGCCCCGAGAGGCGTAGTCCTGCTCCGGGGGGGCCCGGGGGACGCGGGGGCCCCGCCCGCGGCCACCAGCGGAGGCGGCGCGCCCAGGGCGGCGGCGGCCGGCGGGGTCCGCGCCAGGAGTCCGTTGTGCAGCGCGGGCCCGAGGCGGGCGAAGTGCGGGGCGCCCGGGGGCGCGGGGGGCACGGGGCCGGGCAGGTGCGGGGCGCCCGGGTGCAGGGGGCCGGGCAGGGGCGGGGGCGCCGCCCGCAGGCGCTCGGGGCTGAAGCCGCGCGGCTCCCGGTCGCGGCAGAGGCGCTCGGGAGGCTCGGGGGCGGCGGGCGGGGTGCGCCGGGGCAGCTCCGGGCCGCGGAAGGGGTAGGCGTCCCGCAGCGGCTCCCACGCGAAGCCCAGGCGCAGGTGGTGCGGGCCCGGGGCCTCGCCGTCCTCCCCGCGCTCCTCCTTCACCTTCACGTCGCCCTCGGGCGGCCGCGCGGGGCCCAGGGGGCCGGCCGGGCGCAGGCGGTCGCCGGGGGCCCCCTTGCCGCAGGGGGACGGCGCGGCCGGGGCCTCCCTGGCGGGGGAGCGGCTCTCCTTCACCCGCGGGTCGGCCGGGCCCCGGAGCAGGAGGGCCCTGCAGGAGGACACCCCCTCAGTCGCGGGGGGCAGGCTTCTCCCCAAAGCAAGCTGCCTGCCCGCCACCCCCTCTGCCGCGCCCGCCACGCCCCCCCCTACAGGTTCTGGGGGAAGTGGGGAGGGGCCTGGGCGGAGGGGCCTGCGGAGCCCACAACCCCCACCGACCCGGGTTCCTCTGCTGCCGCTCCCCCCGCCCAGCCAGGGGCCCAGCCGGGTTCCTCTGCTGCCGCTCCCCCCGCCCAGCCAGGGGCCGCACCCGGAGGCTCAGCACCTGGGCGATGGGGGCTCCGTCCCCCAGAGCCAGGCTGCCCGGAGCCCCCTCCCTGCTCCTCCTCGGGACAGGCCCGGCTCCCGCCGATCCCACGAGGGTCCTCCCGGGCTCCCTCCGAGGGCCCAGCTCCAGCCCGGCCGGGAGCCCCCAGGCCACTCACCGCTCCCTGGCCTCCCGGCCCTTGTCCGGCTCTCGGTCGTGGTTGGTCAGGGCTGAGACCCGCTCCGTGTCCAGGGGCCGGGGCCAGGGGGGTGGCGTGGGGAAGGACGGGGGCGCCCGGTGCAGCCGGCTCCAGGCCTCCTGGGGGCTGGGCAGCCCGTGCAGAGCGGAGCCCTCCTTGGGGGCGAAGAGGCTGCTGCCTGCAGCTGGGGGCGGGGAGGGGGCATGAGGCCAGGGGCTGGCCGCCCACATGGGGCTGCGGGAGGAGACCACCCCCCAACCCAGGTGTGTCCCCAGGGGGTTGAGACCACGCTGGGAAGCGGGAGGAGGGGGGCGGGCGGACGGACATGCATGGACAGGTGACTCACTCAGTGCGTGGCTGCCCAGGCCTCCGAAGGCGGCGCTGCCCAGGCTGCCCAGGCCCCCGAAGGTGCTCGGCCTGCTGAAGGGGTCTGGGGGCGGCGGGCGGGGCTCAGGACCTGCGTGGCTCCTGCCGGGCGCCCTCCCCTGTGGCCCTGGGGCCCGGCAGGTGCCGGCTGTGCAGTGGGAGGGTTCTAGGGTCACCCACCCCTCGCACCCGAGGTTCCCCGGCACCCACCTGCCAGGTGAGCCGGGGGCAGGAAGCTGCCGGGGTGGGCTGAGGGGCCGAAGTGGTTGGCGGCGGCGTGGGCAGCACCTGGGGGCAGGGTGGAGCTGGCGGCACCTGCGGCCGTTCGGTTTCTCTAGGAGCACCCCCTGCAGGGGCCAGAGGACCCCAGGGGCCAGGAGGGAGCACCGGGCAGCGCCGTGACCCCGACCCCGACAGAAGCCGGCGGACGCGGGCCTTGGCGGGTTTGGTGCTGGGCCTGAGGCCCGGCCGCCCTGAACGGACCCTGAGACGCCGGGCGGGCGGGCGCACGCCCTTCACTCTGGCGTTCCTGTGAAGACGTGACAGGGCCCATCTCTGGGCTCCAGGGGCGCCCACCCCCAGCCCACAGGCCTCGGCTGCAGTGAAACGCACACCCAAGTGACCCACATGCCAGAGCCAACCAGAAGCAGAAGCCAGCGCCCAGGGCTGCTGGGATGGGTGTCCGAGGGGGCGGATGGGGAAAGAGGCAGCGAGGAAGGCCCTGGACTGGAGAGGCACTGACCCCGCAGGGAATGCCCGCCAGGCGGGTGGGCACCAGAGGCCGGCTGGGGGGCGTCAGGGACAAGCGGGGGGGCACGGGTCCCTCTGGGGCGATGGCGGGAGGAGTAGCAGCCCCCCCCGCCCGCCCCGGCCTTACCTGAGCTGGAGAAGAGGGGCGGGGCCCGCTCCTGCGGGTAGAGGACCCCGGGGAGCAGGCCCGGGGCGGGGGCCCTGCTGAGCACGTCCAGCTTGGCGCCCGCCTCCAGCTTGTGGGGGTCCAGCTGCATCTGGGGGTCAGAGGTGCAGGTGCTGCCTCGTCCCTCCCAGGAGCCCCCGGGCCCTCCCAGGAGCCCCTGCACTCAGTCTCCTCCCTGGTCGTGGCGGAAGCTTAGGTGCCTGCCAGGGAGGTGGGCACAGGGTCGAAGGCCGTGGGAGGACTGGGGCATTGTGGGATGCACAGGTGCGTGTCCCCCACCCGCCGGGGGGGGGCTCACCTTCAGCCGCTGCTGGTGGTGGTAGGTCTGCCAGGCGATCTGCACGTGCACCGCGCACCACTTCCCCGGCTTCTGCGGAGGGGGCGCTCAGCGGGGCTCCTCACCCCGCACCCCCGGTCCTGGGGTCCAGGGCGCCCAGGGCCTCCCAGCAGGTGCCCAGAGCCCGCCCCTCGCCCAGGAGACCGCCCACACCCGCCCTCGCTCACCCTGACCGCGGTCCGGTACGGCTCCGACACCTGTGGCCGTAAGGAGCAAGCATTAGGGGCTCAGCCGCAGCCCAGCCCCGGGGAGGGGGCGCCCAGGGGAGGGGGACGCCCCGGGGAGGGGGACGCCCCGGGGAGGGGGGACGCTCCAGGGAGGGGGGCACTCCGGGGAGGGGGATGCCCCGGGGAGGGGGGACGCTCCGGGGAGGGGGGCGCCCTGGGGAGGGGGGACGCCCCAGGGAGGGGGGCGCCCCGGGGAGGGGGGACGCCCCAGGGAGGGGGGCGCCCCGAGGAGGGGGGGCGCCCCGGGGAGGGGGACGCTCCGGGGAGGGGGGACGCTCCAGGGAGGGGGGACACCCCAGGGAGGGGGACGCTCCAGGGAGGAGGGACACCCCGGGGAGGGGGACGCTCCAGGGAGGGGGGACACCCTGGGGAGGGGGACGCCCCGGGGGAGGGGGGAGAGGGAGGGGGAAGACCCAGGGAGGGGGGACGCTCCAGAGGAGGGGGGAGGGGGGAGGGGGGATGCCCCGGGGGAGGGGGGAGAGGGGGGATGCTCCGGGGAGGGGGGACACCCCGGGGAGGGGACGCCCCGGGGAGGGGTACGCCCGGGGAGGGGGATGCCCCGGGGGAGGGGGGAGAGGGAGGGGGAAGACCCAGGGAGAGATTCGCTCCCGGGGAGGGCGGGGAAGGGGGAACGCTTCAGGGAGGGGGGGCTGCGGGGCCGGCTGCACCTACCCCGGGGCCCTTGGGCAGCAGGGTGTGCACAGCGCTGGTCCGGCTCGTTACCTCGATGGGGTTTGAAGTCTGAGAGGAGAGGAGAGGATGAGGCCTGGAGCCCCAGGCCCAACACACGGCTGGCTCTGCCCCTGCACCTGGGCCTGGGGGCGGGGGGAGGCTGGGCTGCAGGGAAGGGGAGTAGAGAGAGCGATACCACCCCCAACACCCCGCAAGCTGCTGCCGACTTGGGGTGCAGGGCGTGGCCTCGAGGCGGAGTGCCGACTTGGGGTGCAGGGCGTGGCCTCGAGGCGGAGTGCCGGGGAGGTGTGTGTCTGCTGCCACTCCTGCCCCGGGCACCCGGCCTCCCCAGCCCAGCGGCCCCAGGAGCAGTACCTTGGGCTGAAAAGCGCCCTGCAGGGACCCGAAGGGGCCTGGGTGTGGGAGCAGGGAGGGCAGTCCCGGGATGGAGGGCGGGAAGGACGGGAAAAACTGCAAGAGAGAAAGGGGGGGCCAGGCCCCGGCTGAGCACCAGTCCTGGGGACCCGGCCCAGCCTCGGACCCCCCAGGCCCCCCGTTAGGACACGGGAGACCTGCTCAGAAGCACCCTCGCCCCCGCCCGCCCGCAGCCCAGCCTGGCCGGCGCCGGCAGCACTCACGCTGGAATGTCGCAGGTAGGGGCTGTCCAGCGCGGGCGGGTACTTGTCAAACTAGAGGGGAGAGAGGGGAGGTGAGGCCGGCCCTGCACTCGGAGGCCCTCCAGGCCCGCTCCCCGCACCCGCAGGCCCTGAGCGGCCTGGGTGCCCACCGGCCTCCTGGGCCGGGCTGCAGCCGGCGGGCGGGGCCCCCGTGGCAGCCGGGACGGGGGCGGGGGCAGCTGGGGCAGAGCCCGGCGGGGGGCGGGGGGCTGAGAGGCCTCCCCCGACAGAGCAGCCGGGTCAGGGGCCACTCGGTCCTGTGGGGACTAGAGCCGGAGCAGCAGGGAGGAGCCGCTGGGCGAGCTGCGGTGAGCTGGGCCGCCAGCTGGGCCTACGCACCGGCAGGGGTGCGGGCGGCGGGGGCCCCGCGGGGAGGGGGGCCAGTGTGTGTTGGTGCTGGTGTGTGTGCTGGTGTGTGTGTTGGTGCTGGTGGAACTCCGCCTGCCGCAGAGCCGCCGGGCCCAGGGGGGCGCCGGGCCGCTCAGTGCTCTGGACCAGAAAGCGCGCGTCCAGCTCTTGCCTGAGCAGCTCGCGATCTAGGAGAGAAGGAGAGAGAGACAGAGCGGGTCGGCCGCCGGCGGGCAGGCGGATAGTCACCTGGCACTCCCGGCCTCGGCAGGCCACGCCGTGGTGGCCGCTCGCCAGGTGCGCGCCCCAGGGCGGAGGGAAGAGAGGGGCCTGTGACCAAGCGCCAATCAGAATCCCCGCATGAGGCTGGCAATACATGATTGGCGGGCTGAATGAGATCAACAGGCTGGCATCTAAAGGCAAGAGAGAAGACCGTGAGCCGGGGCCACGGCGTGGAGCCTGCCTCCCGGGGCGCCCGCCGGCCGCCGGCTCCGCTGTTTACAAAGGCCGGACCGGAGGCCGGGGGCGGGGGACACGGCGACCGAGGCCGCCCCCAGGGCACCTGCTCGTCTCTGAGCCCCGGCTGCGCCCGGAGGGCCTGCCCCAACAGGGACGGAGCGGGAAGAGGCCCACAGGCGCTGGGCAGCCCCACCCCGATGCCTGGCCAGCAGGGCAGGGGCTCCCATGGAGCGGCCGTGTCCGGCCGGGGTGCACAGAGGCCTGGCAGGGGGACCCGGGGAGGCACCTTCTGGGCCCGGCGCAGGGAGAGGCCGTGCCGGGGGCCGCGCCCTCCCCCAGCCCGTCCTGCCACAGGGCGGCCCGGACCTACCGGCGGGGTGTCCGGGGAGGACCAGGCTGTTGGCCGGCAGCGCCGGGGGCGGGGGCAGCGTGGCGGGGGCGGCGAACATGGCCGCGTGGTGCTGGTGCTGGGCCTGGGAGCGGAGCGCCAGGTGTGAGGTAGACAGGTGCGCGCCCGGTCCGAGCGGCGACAGGGACGCGTGCTTCGCGAGCCCCAGGCCACCGCCAACGCCGCCGCCGCTCCTGTGAGGGGCGGGCTCCGCGTCAGCAAGGAGGGCGGAGGGCGCCCCTGCCAGCCGCCCCCCCGCCCCCGCCGCGGCCCCCGGTCTGTGCCCGCCCAGCCCCGCCCCCCCCCTCGGTCTGTGCCCCGCCCCCACGGCCGGCCAGGGCCTACCTGAGGCCCAGCAGGCTGCTGTGCACAGCCTGGCCGTGGCCGTGGCCGTGGCCCGGGCCGTGGCCGTGGCAGTGGCCGTGGAAGGCGCCCAGGGGCAGAGGCACGTGTGTCGGGAGCGGAGCCCGGGGCTGCGGGGGCGCAGGCGGCGGCTGCGGGGTGAGGCGGGGCAGGGCGGGCGCCTCCTTCTTGATGGGCGGGCTGGCGGGGGCGCGGGGCCGGGGGCCGGGGGGTGGCGCGGGGCTGCGCGCGGAGGGCAGGAACGGAGGCTCGGTGCTCAGCTCGCGGCTGCGCTCCAGGCCCGAGACCTTGGGCGCCAGCCCGGCCTTGGCCTCCGCCGTCTCGCCTCGCGTGGGGCCTGTGGAGAGAGGGCCCCACGTTTAGTGGGCCCACAGCCTGCAGGTCACAGCCCCCACCCCGCCCCCCTTCTGGGCCAGTGGAGGGGCGGCACAGGCCCCCGTGTCCTCGCAGCAACCCCAGCTTGGGGTGCGGGGACCCCATTGTACAGCCGCCCCGCGACTCCGTAATCCTGGCTCTGGGTCCCAGTGGTCACCACTGCAGGTCCCACAGGCCTGCTCCCGGCGAGGGCGCTCTCTGTGCGGCCCAGCCAGGCCCGACGGGAACTCGGTGCCTGTCCTCCACGCACGGCCGCAGGCTCGGGCAGAGCCGAGGGGCACACAGGGCGGGACCGTCGGCAGCTGGCCGGCGCCAGGCCGGGCCACTCGGCTGATGGGACCACGCTCCCTGCTTCCCGCCTTTCCTCGCGCCTTCTCGGGGAACACAGCCCCCCACCGGGCCCAGCAGGAGCGCCCGGCCCCCCACAGGCGGGAGCCCGGCCCGGGTGCCCTCACCTTTCTCGGCCGCCGGGGCGAAGAGCTTCTCGGAGCCCACAGACGCCTGGAGGAGAGAGGAGGGTCAGAGCGAGAGGGTGAAGGCCCGGGCGGGCCGGGCGCCAGGATCAGGTCTGGGCGGGTCTCTGAGCCCCCGGCCCACGGGGAGGGGGATTGGGGGTCCAGACCCCACAGGCCGCCGTGACGTGGGAGCCCAGGCTCCGCAGGGCCTGGTGGTGGGTGACGGAGCAGCCAGGACGGCAGGACACGGCCCGCCATGCCCCAGACCCCCTGCACCGCACGCCCCAGGCCCGGGACCACGCGCAGGGCCCCTCGCCATCTCCCCCGGGGGCAGCCACGCAGGGCGGTAGGGTCGGGACGGCCTCGATGTCTGGCGAGAGCCTCCCCAGACTGTAAACACCTTCCTGGAGAGGTTCCCGTGCGGAGCAGCCTCCCCAAGACCAGGCCCCCCGCCTCCCCCTCGTCTCCCAGCCCTCCCTCTGCTGGTCTGCAGGTGCACAGCGGCCAGGGAGGGCAGGGGTGGGAGGGCGCCCGCCGGCCGAGGCTCTCTCCAGCCCCGCACTCCCAGCCCCGGCAGGGCCCAGGGCCCGCTGCGGAAGTTAGTTTGCTCAGGAAAGCCGGGACCCCGGTCCGCAGGGGCCCTGGGCAGGGACAGGCCCGTGTGGAGGTGGCGGCCCCTCCCAGGTCCTGGGCCCTTTCTGTCTGCAGGACCGGACCTGGGACAGCACCTCCTGGGGGATCTGCGGAGCAGGGGCCAGTGGGGTGGGTCACTCCGGTCCATGCACAGGCGGGAGGCCGGCTGCCGGTCGGGAGGTCCCGGCGGCCGCCGCACTTTGTCTGGGGACTTGCCGGCTGGGCGGCATCCGAGGGAGCCCGCACCCCCAGACAAAGGACTCCGCCCGGGCAGGGCCGGGCTGGGCAGGGCAGGGCTGCAGCCGCGATGTGGCCAGCCTGCTCCAAGCGCAGACAAAGGCGCGCCCCCACTTGGCCAGGCCCCCTCCGCTGCCGCCGGCCCCCAGCGGACTGCACCCTGCGCCCAGCGCGCCCGCTCCGGAGCCGAGACGCGGCCTGGGGGGGGGCTCCTGCCTCTGCTGCTCTGGGTTCTTCCCGGAGCCCCTGCCGCGAGCTCACCGCGGGCGCCCGGGCCCGCGCTCCGCAGCGAGTCCTCGGCCGGAGCAGGAGCCGGGGGCACGATGTCCCCCCGAACTCGGCTGTCGGGGGCCGTCCCGCCCTCCAGCTGCGGGCTGGGGTGCTCTGGATGCTGGGGCCCGGGGGCGGCGCTGCGAGGGGCACCGCGGGTGGGCCCGGGGAGCGGCGGGCGGGGCGGAGGCGGGGCGTGGGCAGGCCCGGCTAATCCAGCCCCGAGGCGCGGATCTGCCCGTGGGGCTGCCCCGGGTCCCCAGCCCACCGCCGCCACCAGGTCAGGGCACGCAGCGCGGCGAGTATGGAGGGGGAAACTGAGTCAGGAGCAGTGAGGTCCGTGGCTGGGGCTGGAAGGATGCCAGCTCTGCCCCCTGCGCCTGGTTTCACCATCTCCCTCGCGGGGACTTGAGGGAGAGACCCAGCAGGCAGGGCCCTGGCAGGCAGAGGCTGGCCAGACCCGGCTCCAGAGCAGCGGGCAGGGCCGGGCCCTGGGGGCGGGGGTGAGACGAGGGCCCACCTCTCAGCGGCTGTGGACAGAGGCAGGGATGGGAAAGGGGTGCTGGCCACCCAATGAGCCCGCACCACGTTCACCCCGTATTTCCCCAATAAAACGGCAGTTAGACCCAAACCACCGGGTGGCAGGCGAGCGAGCCCTCTGATGCGCAGGCTGCTCCCCCCGGGAGGGGAGTGGGAGGACGAGGGGGCGAGAGCTGGGGGGGCAGCACTGGCGGGACAGTGGGGGTCACCGGGGGGGGCTGGTGAGTCAGGAGGGCGGGCGGGCCTGCCCGGGGAGGCATGCCATCCCCAGGAGTGCTACGGGCAGAGAGAGCCTCAGACCCGGCAGGTTTGGGACGAGCGAACTGGCCAGAGCAGAGCCCAGCCTTCCTGCTGCCCATCCAGAGGCCCTGGGGGCTGCCCGCCTGGCCTCTGTCCCCAGGCCCAGCACCTGGCGAGTCTGAGACAGATCAGGGCACAGAGCAGCTCCCCCCTCGCCCACCCGGCCCGCACGCTCAGCTGCCCACTCCTGGCCCGGCCCGGCCCCCCAGCAGCCACGGGGCTTCTGACCGCTGGTTCCAGCCTCTGTGGGTCCGGGAACGGGACACGCCAGCTGTCCAGCTCTGTGGGCACGAGTCCCAAGGGCCCAGCGAGGGCCGGGATGTGCCCTGTGGATGCCAAGCAGCAGCTCGAGGCCAGGCACCGCTGCTTCCCGCCCGCGCCCACGACTACGCAGTCATGCCCTGGAACTGCCTGGAGACACTTGCCTTCCGGCCTGCACCCCAACCCCAGACCCCGGACCCCGGACCCGTGAACGGCCTCACCGGGCCAGAGCCACAGGAAGGAAGCGGGGTGCCCAGAGGGCAAAGGCCCTTCTCTCTCTTGGGGCGGGGGTCCTCACAGGTCAGCCTGGCTGCAGTGGGGAGGGGGGCACCAGTTCCAGGTCCCAGGCCAGTGTCCACGGGGCCTGCTGGGTGGGTGTGAGGGGTTACTCGCTGCCAGAGGCCAAGCTGGGGAGAGGGGGGAACACAGGCCTCTGGCCACACAGCTGCTCACCACCCCCCGCTCAGGCCAACAGCACCCGTGGAGGGCGCTGAGGGCGGGACCTCGGCTCTCGGCCGCCGCCCGTGGCTGTCACTGGGCCCGGGCAGCCTCGCACACCTGCAGGGGCCTGTCCAGCGAGCACAGGGAGACCGCCCTGCTCCCCTGGAGGCCTCACTGCCGGCCGCTCCTCGGTGGGACCAGGCGCCCCCGACCCACTGAGACAGGCCTTCCTGCCAGGCCTCCAAGGCCACGGGGGGTCGAGTCAGCTGGGGGCGCGCAGGCTTACCTTGTCGTCCCCGTCGCTCTCGCTGTCACACTGTGGGGAGAGAGGGGAGTGAGTGCCCATGAGCCCACACGTGGAGGCGGGTTCCCGGGGGCCACAGGGCTCAGGCCAGAGCGGAGGGGGGAGGACGAGGCGGCTCCGAGGGCCCCCACTCGGAGCCTCAGCCTGGTGGTGTGGGGGGTCCCAGGCCAGTGGGCCCAGCTGAGCTCTGAAGGAGGCGAGGAGGGGAGACCCCTGGGGAAGAGGCCCCAGCAGGGAGGGGGCTGGGGGGCCGAGTGGACGCTGCCCCACGTTATCAGTGCCGCTGGTTACAGCGAGACCGTGACAAACACAAAAACCTGTTCTCGACAGTCAGGAGAGCTTTAGAGAGAGACTGTTCTAGAAGCCACAGCACCTCCCCCCCAGGACACAGAGAGGGAAAGCTCTTCCCAGAACTGCAATTAGGACAGACACGCTCCGTCCTGCTCCACGGCTGACACACCTCCCGCCCCGCGCTCCGTGCTGGCCCCTGACCCAGGCCAGGGCGCTGTGCTGGCACGGGTCGTGTAAGCAGGGTGGGAGAGCTGGGGCACAGCGGGGCAGCAGGGGGAGCACGGAGAGGGGCTGGGGGGGGGGGCGGGACATGGCTGTTCTGGAGCATGAGGGAGAGTAAGGGTGATGGCACCTCACGACAGTCCTGACCAGGGAGAGGGGTGGGGACCTGGGGTCCTGGCCTGTGGGGCGTCAGGAACCCCTGACCATGCAGCCGCTGGTGGAGCTGCCAGAGCCCCCCCCGTTTCGGCCTCTTAGACCCCCCGATCCGCGGCTCTGAGACCTGGAGGGGAAGGGCACGCACGCCCATCAAGCCGTCCGGGTGGGGCCTCTGAGCTCACGGCCGTCACCGGCCCAGAACCCCCGGCCCACTCCGGCCTCCCCACAGCCCGGACGACCTTGGTGTCACCGTGAGCCTAAGGAGCCGGCGTCACGGTGCGGAGGGCGCTCTCCGGCGAGCACACACACACGGACCCTATAATTAACCACAGCACACGCCTGTCAGCCAGCGCGGCTGCAGGCATTCACGTCATCAAGTCCTACAGGATTAATGTTCAATGCGGTGCAGTGGGAAGTGAACGAGGCCATTAATCAGGGCAGGAGGGAGAGATCTGATCTCCAGACCTGCCTGCAAGGGGTGACCTTCGGGGTCCGGCTGGGCTGGGCGCCCTGGGGAGAGACCCTCCCCTGTGGGTGGGGTCCACGGAGGAAGGGCAGGCCCCAGGGGGTGTGGGCCCTGGGCGATGCCGGCTCTGATTCTGTGCGGCCCAGGGCCCCACTGTGACCGGGAGACAACACACGTGCACGCAGTCACAGTGAGTGACGGGCAGGGTCCGGGGGCCCCTGCCGCCTCTCCGTGCCCTCTGCTCTGACCCGCTAGCCCCTGCTGTCCCCGGGCCTCCCCGCAGCTGCCCAGAGCGATTTCCGGGTTTTCCTCAGCCCGAAGCCCGGATGGCTGATGGGCCCGTGTCACCAGTGAATGAAACGGCGCCCTGCGCCCGCGCTGACCTGTGGCGGGGCCGGCTGTGAATCCGTTCTCGGGCTGTCAGACTCCGGCGCTAACGGCCTATGAATTATTCATCGCCACAGGAAGCGTTCGCCGGAGCGGAGCGGAGCGGCGGGCATTAACCACCCCCGCCCGCCTGCCCTCCGGGCTCCTGTGCAGGGGCTGGGCCTCCGGCCGTGGCTTGTCCGGAGCGGCCAGGTCTTGCTCCAGGACAGGCCGCGGCTCAGGCATTGGGGCCGCACGGGGTCTAAAGCTGGAAGGGCCACACTCAGCGGGATGCCCACGTGGGCACCCTCCCCCCAGGGCCTGGGCCTCTAGGCGCCCTGAGCGGCCCCACAGGGGTGGGAGGATCGCCCAGAGCTGAACCCGGGAAGCAGCGGGACGCAGGGCACACAGCGGCACTGGTAACGTGGGGCAGCTCCCACCGGTGTGTGTCCGGTGCCGGAGGAAGGGCCATGAGGCTCGGGGCAGGGGCGGGGTGGGTGTGTGTGTGTGTGTGTGTGCGCGCGCGCGCGTGTCTGGGTGGCTTCTCCTGAAGACCTCGAAAAGTGAATGAGCTCAAACCTGCAGCCCACCAGCAGCCTGACCCCACCCGCCTGGGGGGAGCGGGGGCAGGGAGGGGCAGTGGGGGCGGGGGCACCCCCGGGCCTGCCTGTCCCGGGCCTGCTCCCTAGGTGTGGGACTTTTACAGACGGTGGGACTTCTCACAAACGCGTGTCATCCTGCCCCTCACTCAGCCCTCGCCCGGCCGAGCAGGAGGAGCCAGGGCACCGCACCTGCTCCTCCGGGACGGCCGCTGAGCCCTGCCCTGGCCCCCCACAACGGGCACCCGCCTGCTGGCTGGTCTCCGTCCAAGCCCGGAGCAGGTCGCCTGCTTTTCGTCTGCTCTGCCTGGGGGGCACAGACCTCCTTCAGGGACCAGCCCTCCCCTACACTAATTGGCTTTATTCACCATCTCCTTTTTTTCTTTTTTTTTTGTTAATCCTCACCCAAGGATATTTCTTCCATTGGTTTTCAGAGAGAGAGGGAGAGACAGAGAAGCATGGATGTGAGAGACATATCAACTGGTTGCCTCCTGCATGCACCCCGACTAGGGCTGGGGTTCGAACCTGCAACCCACAGGTACATGCCCTTAATCAGCAATTGAACCCTAGACCCTTTGGTGCAAGAGCCGGCATTTTAACCCCTGGCCAGGTCACCACTTTCTCCTTTAGGCCCTGAACCCCGCCCCCCCCCGCCCCCCCGCCCCCGAAAGGGCCTGATGTTTGGCTCCTTCCCAGCACCCGCCGTGTCCCAGGCAGGAGGAGGGGGAGGAGGGGGAGGAGGAGGGAGGTGCATCTCTGTTTCACACACGACGGCAGGCTGCTAGCCAGACTGACCCAACGGAAGGAGCTGATGCAATGGGCACAGGGGGCAGGCCAGGTGCTGGGATGGAGGGGCCACAGGTCTGGGGGTGCTGGGTGAATGGGCCGGCCTCCTCCTGAGGGGGACACAGTTCTGGGAGATGGTCCTGGAAGGGCCTCGGGGACTAAGAGGGCCGGAGCTCAGGCCCAGCAGCGCCCTCCCCCCCGATGGCGGTGCCTCCACGTCACCCAGAGGCTGGAGGGCCGTCACTGGTGACAACGTCCACCTGGAGGCTGTGGGCTGGCCGCCTGGATCACCACGGGTCAGAGGTCACCACATCCCGGGCATCAGGCCTGCTGCCCTGTCCCCCACCCCCACTCTGGTCCTCCTGTGTAGAGTAGGGGCAGGGGCGGGACACACACACACACAAGGTGCCTGAAGGGGGCGAGGGGCCCATGCTGCTTCGGCCTTCGCAGCCTCTGGACCCCGTTTCTGTTTCTCAGGGAAGCCCCGGGCCCCTGGGTCTGCAGAGACAGATCCCGTGTCCTTATCGGCCGGGTGAGGAGCTCTGACTAGCACACAGCTGAGCAGCGCCTGAGGGCTGCGGGGCTGCGGCGTCTGGGACCGGGCTGCTGCGGACACCCAGGAGCCGGGGGTTTGCTGGGAATCTGGGCAAATGAGGCCCCTGAGTCTCGTCTACAGCCAGGTCAGTGGGCACGTGCCCAGCGTGGCCTAGAGCGGGATGCTGCGGGCAAGGGAGGACAGCCACACACGCACAGGCAACACGGCACACGGGTCGCAGAGACATACAGACATGGGACACGTCTGCGGAACGAAGTCACACAAGCAGGTGCACCCACACCACACACAGACACTGACATGCAGGTACATGTGGGGCATGCACACACACATGCATGCGCATCTGCTACACCCACAGACACACATGCAGACGAACAGGCATAAGGGGCCCAGAACACGCAGATGGCCCAGAGACAAGTAAAACCTCTAGGTGCAGGCAGACACGGCCATACCAGGGCCTCAGAAAGATGTGCATGTGATAAACATGTAAACGTGAGCACACGACATACCAGCCATGTGTGTTCTCTCTTGCACGCCCACACACGCACGCAGACACACACACACGCACACACACACACACACACACACACACACACACGCAGGGCCCAGCCGGAGCGCACGCTGCAGCCGAAAGGCTCCCTGGTGACGGGCTGGGTGCTGAGCAGGTCACCTGGGCCGGCCTCCAGCCGTGGGAAGTGGCCTCACCTGCTTCCACTTCATGGGCCAGGTAGGGCGTGTGGGACACACCTGCCCCCAGGGCCTAACGCACCCCCCACGCCCTGGCCTCAGAAGGGCGGCCACGTCCCTGCCACCACTGTGGCTCCCCCAGTGGCCGTGAAAGTGAAGCACAAGCAGCTGGCCGAGAATCACGGTTCTTCTGGGAGGCCGCGGCACCTCAGCGCCTGGGAGACAGGGGCCCGGGGTCTCCGACGTGGCAAGAGGCTCCTGGAGGACCCACGGACCCGGGCACGCCCCGCCTGCCTGCCTGCTGCTGGGCACGCTGGCCCCCGTCTCCTGGTCACTGCCTGGCTCTCCCCATCTGGCTGGCATCACACCGGGGCATGACGCCTCCCGCCCGATCCGCCTGCTTGTGCTGCTGGGGCCCCCACAGCTCCCAGGTGGCTGCAGAGTGGGGAGCCCATGGTCCTTCCCGGGACACTATGGCGGGTGGGGGGGGGGGGTGCTGGGCTAATGGGTCAGCCACACCCATAAAAGCCGCCCTGCAGCTCTGACTCGGTAAGTCAGGGTGGCAGGCCGCCACCGGCCGCACCTGGCACCTGGCTCTCACCTGGCACCTGGCACTGGGCCGGCTGACGCTTCAGGGAAACCGGATAATGTGTGTGTGTGTGTGTGTCCAAGTGCCACCCGGCAGGACCTTCTCCCTCGGAATCTCCAGCTCCATGCACACCCCCTTCAGGCCAGCTCTGCCAGCAAGACCCCCTGGGGTCCGCCCGGGCAGGGAGCAGATGGGGCTCCGGAGGGACAGGACATGCAGGAGAGGGACGGGGGAGGGACAGAGGGAGGGGGTGGGGGTGCGGGTGGGGGAGGGGGGACTTACGGAATAGCCTCTGCCCGACACGGCCTGCGCTGAGCTCTGCGGAAGGAAGAGGACATCGTAACCGGGGTAACCAGGCTCGCACCGCCACCACCGCCCTCTGAGGCCACCCCAGGGCCCGTCTGAACGGCCAGGGCACCCCTGTCACAGGCCGTAGATGTCGGACCCTGAGACAGGCCCAGAGGCCACACCCGGGCCCCGGCGGGAACCATGGGCTCGGGGTCCGGACGAGGACACAGCTGAGCTCACAGACCCAGGACCCACTCGGACCTTCGCCGGGACCTGGCTGTGGCCCAGCCATCACCTCACCAGAGCCGCAGAGCCCCGCGGCCTCCGCTCTGAGCCAGATGTCGCCTGAAGAGGCCCCGAGTCCCACCGCGGCTCTGTGCTCACCTGGTTCTGTCCTCATGGGGCCACCCTCCCCGGGCCACCCGCCTCAGGGGACACCCCCGCCTGGCCAGCCTGCCCCTGGTCTCAGAAATGGGGGGAGAGGGGGCGCGGGAAGGCTTTCGGGAGGAGCTGGACGGGACCTCCAGCCTTGGAGTCAGGGTGAGGCCGTGGGAGGAAGTGGTTCAGAGGTGGGGCTCACCCCTACCTCAGGGAGGCCCCGCCCCCAGGGCTGACCCCCAAGGCACAGGCTGGCTGGACGGGGCTCAGGGGGACCCGCAGACCAGGGCCTAGAGCACACTGGGCACTGAGCCGAGTGCTCCCTTCTGCACAGGGACCCCCTCCCCAGGCAGACCCCTGCCAGATCCTCACTCAGCTCCTGGGGTCTCTGCTGGGGAGAGTCCACTTCCTGCCTCCAGGCGACACTTAGAGCTGGAACTAGGGCGGCCGCACGCAATTACCGGCGCAGTTACCGGCCTGATTCCCCTCTGGTGGGGAAGACCAAGCAGCAGTCCGGCCTCCCCAGGCTCCATTTAAATGGCAACGAGGACAACTCAGGCCTGCAGCTGGGGGTCCAGTCTGGGTCTCCACTAGGGCCCTCCCCCCCAGGGCCCCGCCCCTGCTCCTTACCTCTCCTCTAAGCTCTGGGACCTGAAACCCCCGTGGTGAGGGCCGCCTGGTCTGGTCTCCCCATCGCTGGCCAAATCCCGGGCCAGCCCCTCACGGGGTCCCAGGCCCCTCCCGCCTCCAGGGACCTGAGCTCAGGGACCTCCTTCCAGGACAGCAGAGGCGTCTGGTACTCACGTCACTGAGCTGGTCCCGGGAGGCGCTGCGCCGGGAGCTGGTGGCCTCGCGGAAGCCCTCGTCCTCGCTGTGGCCGTCGCCCCCTCTGGACAGGGCAGCCTTCACCTGGGGACAGAGAGAGGGCTCAGCAAGCAGCCTGCACCCCTGCACCGCCCGCTGCGGGGAGGGGGACTCCCCCGTCAGGGTCAGGCCCCAGCTCCGCCCGAGGGGGCGCCCAGGGAGGGGCGGGAGGGGGCACGCTGCCCAGCTGTGCGGAGCCCAGACAGGAAGGAGGCGCCCAGCAGACACGAGGCTCAAGGACAAGTGTCTGCAGCTGCTCTGTCCCCCCCGCCAGTGGCTGCCACCAAGCCAAGTGGCAACGCTTCCCCTCTCTGACCCCAGAGAGGAAGGGAGAGGAGAGGGAGAGAGAGGAACATCAACGATGCGAGAGAATCACCGACGGGCTGCCTCCCGCAGGCCCCACACGGCGGATGGAGACTGCAGCCCGGCCTGTGCCTTGACCAGAACCGATCCTGACCTCCTGGTTCACAGGCTGATGCTCAACCCCTGAGCGGCCAGCTGTGCTCATGCTTCTGTTTTTACTTGGAGATAACTAACCTCAGGAAGCTGTGGGGACACCCCCCACTTCCCAGCCCGACCCCCACCCCTCAAGCCACGTGGCCTTGCGTCCAGCTCCGTGTCCGGTCCCGTCGCCTCCCGCCCGCCCGCCTGGCTCCCTCTGTCCCTCAGCTTTGTCTGCTTCCACGTGACGCCGGCACACGCAGAGGCCACACCTCCCTCGGCGAGTCTGGCGGCGGCGGTGGCGACCCTGCCAGTGCTGCCCACGCCCCAAAGGCCGGGGCAGCGGGGCCACGGGCCCGGAGCCCAGCGCCAGCCCCAGCTACTCCCGCGCGAGGCGGGCGGCGGCGGACACCGCCACACTCAGTCCCGCGGGAGGAGGACGTGCCCCATCCTGCAGGTGGCAAACCGAGGTGCTGGGGCTGAGGCGCCCGAGGCCTCGGGGCCAGCCCGTGGCACGCGTGGGGACTTCCGGAAGGACTCTACCAGCCCTTCTGGCAACTGTCTCAGGACCGGGAAACCCCAGACACGGCAGGCGGGGGTGGGAGGAGCGCGGGAGGGCCGACACGCACCCAGAACTCCCGTCAGTGAGGCTGGAGGCTTGGGGCTCCAGGGCGGTGGGTGCAGGTGAGGGACGGGGCAGGGAGGGCCTGGAGGTGTGGGGAGGGCAAGGGAGTGAGACCACAGGTGAGTAAGCCCGGGGAAGGCAGAGGAGGGCAGGCAGGGAGGGAGGTCAGGGGTGGGGGTGGCTGAGGGTGGAAGGAACCTTCCAGAACCAATGGCTCCTTAGAGGAGCCTCAGGTGGGAGATGGCACCCAGCGAGGAGGCCGAGCCGGGAGGCTGCTGTGCGGGGAGCAGGGGCAGGGGGCAGGGCTCTCACTGCGAAGGGCCGGACCTCAGAGCAGCCTGGGGCCCCAGGCTCTCCAGGGCTCAGGCGGTGCCCTCAGGCCCGGGGCAGACTTCCTGCCAGCTGCCTCGGCAGGGCGGCTGGATGTGGCATGTCTCCCTCACAACAGCCGCTCGGTGACCCGCGGGGTCTCTGCGTTGGGTCAGGGAGGCGGCCGGCGGTGTCTGGCCCAGCAGCCGCACGCCCGGCCCTTCTCCTCACACAGCAAGGACCGGAGCAGAGGCCAGCTGGCCCCGAGGAAAACCTCCTCAGCGAGGCGCCCCCTGGTGTTTGTCACACGAAGGGCAGGACTTGCGGGCAGCAATGGGCATTCACCTGGTGCAGACCACACGGGGGGACCCCAGAGCTCACAAGAAAAACTCCTCCTGGGGTTCCCCAGCCTGGAGGGTGTTTCAGGGGGACCCACTTCTCAGACCCAGGCTCATGCCTGCCCCCTGGGGGCCCACGGGTCTCCCTAGTGGCCCCTGCACGGTAAACCCCCTCAGCGCGGCCCCCACGGTCCTACATGGACACCCCCTTCCACCGCGCAGCCACGGCGGCCCAGACACTGCCCTGCAGACGGGGCGTGGCGCGGACACCCAGGCCCCAGCCAAGGCATCCTGGGGCAGCAGGGCCCCCCCCCAGACCTCCAAGGCCCCCCTCGAAGACTCATCCATCCTCACTTCCCGCACGAGGTGGCCCCCAACCACCGCCCCCCGACCTTGGGGCAGCTCATTGGCCGGAGCCCAAGCCTCCACCCACCTCCCAGCTGTGTCCTGCGGCTCAGACACTAATTTACCTTCCAGGTCTCCTTGGCCAGTCCACAGGAGCCACTCCAGACCGCCTGCAGGCCCCGTGCCCCAAGCACCAGCAGAGGCCCCGGGACAGGTGTGCACCCACCCACCCCCGAGGCAAGTGGGTGCCCCCAGGGCCCTCCCTCCCCCGTCCCAGCTCTGTGAACCAGCAGAGCCCCGCTCTCTCAGCCTGCGGTCACCCCGGCCGCCCACCCCGCGTGGCTGATGGGAAGTGGGGCAGCCCCGGCCCTGGCTGAGGTCCCCATGGCCCTGCCCCACACCCTGGCCAACACTCCCAGGGGCTGCAAGGCCCACACCCGTCCTGACCCTCCTTGGGATGCACCCAGCAGGAGGTACGTGGCCCAGGCAGGGCACTGACAGACCACAGGGCCCAGGGCCCAGGGCCCAGGGCCCAGGGCAGGACACACGCCTGAATCCCCGTCCAGTGCAGGGCTGAGGACGAGGGTGGGGAGGAGACCCCTCCCCGTCCCCACCGGCCATCGGGTGTAAGGTCGCTCCTGTTAAGTCACAAACGCCGACGCTGCAAGAATGGCACTTTTATTGTCTTCAATCCAAAAATAAACCCTGCGTCTCTGGGAGGCCCTGCGTGAGGACCAGGGCACCCCACACCCGCTGGTCAGGCCCCCACAGGCAGGGTGCTCGGGAGCAAATGGGGAGGCGGAGGCCTGGAGACCGGGCCCCTGAGGGTGGGTCAGCGCGGACATGCCTGTCGCAGCAGGCGATGGGGCATGAGGCTGAGCGGGAACCTGGCCAGGGCACCCGGGGGCAATGCTATTCCCCGACGGACGGACAGATGGACGCAGGCCTCAGGAGTCCCAGCTCTGGGGGCCTGCCCTGGGCCAGGGACAGCAGAGGCAGAGCCCCGAAGTGTGGGGTCTGCCCAGCAGGAAGCGTCAGGGGCAACTGGGAGGCTGCAAGAGGGCCCTGAGGGCCCTGAGGGCACTGAGGACCGGGGCCCGGAGACTCTTGGTGCAGAGCGGGGGTGGGGCTGACCCACTTCAGTGACTGGCGACTGGGCTGGAGGCAGGTCCCGGGGAACCTTCCGTGCCACCAGCAGCTTCTGCTCCACCACAGACGGCCCTGAGCACCCTGCGCCTCCAGTTACAGGACCCAGAGGTGGAGGCAAGGCTGAGGGGGCAGGAGGCTCACACTGACCGGAGGGGAGGGGCCCTGGGTGAGGCCTGCAGCTCACACACATACTTGCACACCTGGGGGCGTGCACAGACTCAATGTACAAGGACATGTGGCACTTCAGAGGCACAAACAGGGACCCCGCAGCCCCTCCCGGGGCGAGTCACACAGCGGACGGGCACAGGGGAGCGGAGCGGCGTGGGGCGGGGCGCAGACACCGGGTCCTCTCCTCTCTTCCTGGCTCAGGCAGCCTTGGGCGGTAGCAGGCCTTGGGCGGTGGCGGCCTGCCTGGGGCTCCGCCTCTGCTGAGCCAAACGCACACACAGCCCGGCCACACAGCCCGGCCATCGGAGACCAGTCCGCATACAGCGGGGCGGCAGGAGCCGGCCCCGGGGAGCACAGATGATGGTGGGGAAACGGGCATCAGGCTCCTGGGCTCACATACGGGGCCTGGCGGGCTGAGCGGGTGGAGGAGCGAGTCCGTCGTGACCGCAGGGGCCAGCAGGGGGGGCCCGGGGCCATGTCCAACAAGGACTGCCGCCGAAGCCGCAGGGGCCCCAGGAGTGGCCGGCGGGGTGGAGGGGGCTCCCCCAGAAGCGAGGGGCGCTTGGGGATGGGGAGCAGTGGCCGGGGCTTATAGGGCGGGCCTGGGCCCAGGAGTGACTGCGGGGGCTGGCAGTTCTGCTCTGGGCCCAGGAGTGGCTGCTTCTGTTGACTCGGCTGTCGGGGGCCCAGCAGTGACGATTCGGGGGGCCCATGCTTCTCCGGGGCCTCAACAAACTGCTGGGGCTGCCGGAGGCCCGGGTGAGCAGGCCGGCCCAGGAGGGACCTTCGGGGCTGGCGTGGGGTGAGCAGGGCCCGCCAGGAGCAGCAGCACTGGCCTGCGAGCGAGCAGCTGGGCCGGAGGCGGGGACGCAGCACGTGGGGCGAGCGGGGGGGCGGGCAGTGCGGGCAGCGGGCCTGCAGGGGCTGGAGGGGCCCGCACCACTGTCCGGAAGAGGCCCTGCTGGGCTGGCTGTGCAGACACGAGGCCACGCAGGCCCACGTGGGGCAGCAGCAGCGGTGCCAGAGGGCCAGCAGGGACCGCAGGGGGCAGCAGAGGGGGCAGGAGTCCGGGGGGCAGCGCAGGGGCCGGCAGAGGTGGCAGGGGGCCGGGGGGCAGCGCGGGGGCCGGCAGCGCTGCCTGGGGCCTAGGGGTGACCACCGGGGCCTGGAGGGGGGGGCCAGGAGCGTCCGCCGAGGCCGGCTGCGCTGCTCTGGGGCCGGGAGCAGCTGCCGGGGCCGACAGGGCTGACCTGGGCCCAGAAGCGATCGCCGGGGCCGGCAGGGCTGACCTGGGCCCGGAAGTGACCGCTGGGGCAAGCTGCGCTGACCCGGGGGCGGCTGCCGGGGCTGGCAGGGCTGCCCGGGGTCCGGGAGAGCCCGGCTGGGCTGGCAGCGCTGACACGGGGCTGGGGGTGACCCCTGGGGCTGGCTGGGCGGCTGCTGCTGCGGGCGCTGGGCCGGGCCGGTCTGGTCCCAGGGGTTGGCTGGGATCGGCCCCCCTTCGGGGGAGCACACCTGCATGGAAGAAAGAGCACGTGTCCGCCTGGGCCAGTGTGCCTGCCGACCCCCCGTCCAGCCCGGCCCGACATGCTGCCCCGCACCAGCAGCCTGTCCCGGGGGTGAGGAGGCCCGCCGGGAAGACCCGCCGGGAAGAAGGCGTGGACCGCGAGCCGAGGGCGGCGGCATGCCGGCACCTGCAGCCTGCACTCCGCGCGCTCAATTGCTCGCTCGCCGGGAGAGAGCCCCCACCAAGGACCACCGGCCACACGTGCCCAGGCACTGGCTCCACACACGTTAGCTATGGAGCCGCAGTGAGCCCGCCCCCACGCGGCAGACACAGGACACCCCGTGGTTGGCGGAGCCTGACGGACGCGATGGGGAGACGGGGCCAGCCTATCAGGTGCACCCTCAGCCCCCACACCTGCTTCAGCCTCAGAGGGCACCAGTCCACCTGTGCCCACACCCGTGCCCGACGATGACAGGACGCACGCCCGGCAGGCCGATGCCAACAGGCGGCGTCCAGGTGCTGGCGTGGCCCACGGTGCCCACGGCTCGGGGGGAGGGGAGGGACGCTCACCTGCTTGGCGGGCTGCAGCGGGACTTTCCGCCCCCGGTCGCAGGCGGGCTCCAAGTCCGGCTCGGGGCTGCCCACCTCCGGGGGCCGGCCGTTCTCACTGGGCTCTGCCGGCGGGCCGTGCTCTGACTCCCGGGGCTTCTTGGCGAGGCGCCGCTCCCATTTCTCCTTCCGCTCCTGTGGCTTCAGGGCCATGTCCTTCTGCGGGGAGGCGGGCGAGCAGGTTAACCGGCAGTGACACTGGACCCTGCACCCAGGACCCAGGAAGCTCCAGCACTGCCTGTTGCCACCATCATTGAAGGTGACAGAGGTGGCAACGAGGAGATCCTGAGGGGATGCCCAGGTGGGGCCCCAGGCACCACCTGCCCAGAGATTGACCTCTGCAACCCACCTGGGTCATGCATACCTGACCGACAGGCAGGTGCCAGCACAGACCCTGCACCCATGCCCGAATGCAGGGTGACCCTCCACGGTGGGCAGCACTGGCATAGCGGTTCACAACCCCCAGCGGCTAAGGCAACGGCCCCGCCCTGAAGGCCCTGCACCCAGAACCCTCCTGGGACCCAGGTGGCTCCGCTGCCCTGAAACCATGGTTCTCTGCAGCCACTTTACGGCTTAGTTCCCTGAATCATCACCCGCACCCAGCACCAACGTTCCCAACTGCACCCACAACCCAGCCCTGAAGCTGTCATTGACGGTGGCAGACACCCCTCCACGTCCCCTCCCTGGGGCCACGTGGGCACCCACCACGCCCGGCCCTTTGTGGGAGGAGGCCCTGTGGGGTGAACATGTCATCCCTGGCCAGGCCTGAGCCCCTCCTTTTAGACTGGAGACCTGGACCCCCTTCCCCACTCGGTTCAGGAGCTCAGGCCAGTCCCACCTGGCTGGTCCCTGTGCAGCCCCACCCGCCCCGCCTACAGGCTGGATGCCCTGAGAAGGCCTCCCTGTCCCGGAAGCTCTGGATCCTGTCCCATTACACCCGGGTCAGCCTCCTGCTGCCCACCAGGAGATGGTCACTGTGACCACCCGGGCCACCCACAACCCACACTGGACTGGGATGAAATGTTCCCACCTCTGTCAGTTTCTGCTCTCCCAGCCTCCTGCCCGGACACTCAGCCCCCCCACTCCCCCCACTGCACCAGGCAGCATGCCCACTCCCCTCCGCCCAGGTCTGCACAGCGACCACTGCTGCTCCGCTGTCACCAGGGGGACGGAGGGACCAGTCTGCCCTGCCCACAGGGGTGGGGGGAGGCTCTTGGGGTGCTGTCCCAGGACAGGGGACAAGGAGAAAGAATGCTGGACCAGCTCAGAGAGGAAACCAGTCCCAGAGCAGGCCTGGTCCTGGTTGCATGGGGAGAAGCAGCTGTGAACTGGGGTCGCAGGCCTCACCACCACCCCCACCACCCCCTGTCCTGCCAGCCTCGCAGGCACCTACTGGCCTGGCCGAGCCACCTGTCTGCTCCCCCGCCTGGGGCAGGTCCCACAGAGCCCTGGGCTGGCGTGGCCGGTGCTCCGTAATGCTCAGCGAGCAGGGAGGGACGGAGAGCTCGCCCTGCTGGCCAGCAACCCTCCCCAGTCACAGAAGCACAGGAACACGCCTGCCGGGGCCACACGGACAGGCCCCGGAGGCGGCTCAGGCCTCGCCACCCTGGAGCGAGGGGGGAGCTCCAGGCGGCCAACCTGCTGACTCTGCTCCCAGCAGCTGGTCCCTCAACTCCTGGTCCCACCGTTTCCCTCTCCCCACCTGCCTCCCCCACGACAGCACCTCTAACTGGAACCACAGGGGGGCTGGACCCGGGACGACTCTCGTGTGGAGGGGCTGACGGCGCCCCTGCACCCCACTCCAGGACACAGGACCCAAAAACACAATGCCCCGCAGACCAGCTGTGCCCACACCCTGCTGGGGAACCCCTCACCCGGATGCTCAGCCCCCGTGCTAATTCCCGGGCACCTATGCCTCCAGGCGCTCAGCAGAGGGAAGGAAGGGGAGACGGACAGCTCTGCACCCCCTGCCTTCGGGTGCTGGGGGGCATGGGACAGAGGGAAACCGAGGCCCGAGGCCCCTGCCACGGGGGAGCAGAGAAGGGGCTGGGGGACAGATGGTCCCTGCCCACAGGCATGGGGTGCGAGGCACCTGCAGGCCATCAGGCCCTCCTCCTGCCCAGCTCAGATCCCTCCCCGGACCTCACTCGGCTCCCTCCTGACAAAGCGGGGCGAGGACAGCGCCCTCTCGGCCGGCTGGCCAGCATCCTCCTGCTCCCCGACTCATCTCCCCACGCGAGGCGCTGACCCACAAAGCAGGAGGTGACGTGCAAGAACCCCATCGCAGTCAGTGCGGGCACCACCGGCCGCGGCCGAGTGCCGGCTCTGCTTGGGGAGGTGCAGCCCGATGCCACCCGATGGGAGTCCCAGCGTGGGCCACACGGCGCCCATGATTACAAGAGCTCGCCCTCCTGGCCTCGGTTTCCCCATCTGAAGAGCAGAGGCACAGGCTCCTCCAGCACCAGCTCTCCTCACTGAGCCTGGCCACCGTGGTCTCAGCCCCGTGCCCGCGGGAGAAGTGGGCTGGGCACATGGCCCCCCAGATCAAGGCTCCCACAGCGTGGGCTTCCAACACACTGGCTGGTGGGGCCCAGTCCCAGCTCCCCACTCTCCCAGCCTCAGAGCGCCCAAGTCAGGCCACACCTGGGCCCTCCGCATCCAACAATACCACCACCCGCTGGGCTGGCCCTGGGCTGCGCACTGACAGCCGTGGGGATCCCAGCCTCCCACCCGAGGCAGGCACAGGGTCCCCTTAGGGCAGACACAGGCGGCTGCGGCTGTGGGGACTGCCGTGAGCACGGGGTGGGGTGTGTCCGGGACACAGAGGGGCAGAGGGAAGAGGAACAGGGAGTCAGTTTGGGCTGCAGGGGGACAGGGGTCCCACCTCCTGACATGTACGTCCTGTGGGCAGAGCGTGGAGCCGGACAGGCAGGGGCCTTGACTCATGGCCTCAGGCCTCAGTGTACCTATCGGTACAGGGGGAGGGGGGCACAGCCAGCCTGCGAGAGCACACGTCCACCGCATGCTGGCTAAGAGTGTGGGGGAGAACCACTACACTCTGGCAAAAAACGAGGCCCCCCCAGAGCGCCAATCTACCGACCAGAGTGCCAACCTGGACGCCAAGAGTCGTGCAGAAGCCCCGGACTTTCCCAGGCGGAGGGCCCCTCCCATGTGACCTGCCGGGCTGCCGGAGCCCGGTCCCCAAACCCAAGGCTGCCCTTTCGGTGCCCGGAGGCATCGCATGGACCCCCAGGCTCAGGTCGCAGGGGCACACCGATGGGCCTTCCCAACCCTCGGCCCACCTCTCGCCTGTCCACTCGATGACCCCACAGGGGCTGCACAGGGCAGGGCGCCTGCTCACACCTCGCTCACGCTTTCCGGGGGCGAGAACCACAGAGCAGAGTGAGCGGACCCAGAGGAAGGAGAGCTTGTGAAGTAACTGGGCCCCTCGAGGGACACCTGCTCAGAGGCCTCGAGGTGCCAAACTTGGACGGGGGCAGAGGGGCCGGCAGACACACAGACGGGGCAGAAGCCAAAGGCACTGACTGGTGGTGGGCGATGGTGTCGGGTGGGAGGGGGGCATCTGATCCGTGTCAGAGGCTGCAGGGGGGGCCTGGCTTGGATGAAGGCAGAGAGCGCTTCCCACCGGGCACTGCCACCACACCACACCACACCACACCACACCACACCACACCACACCACACCACAGGGGCACGACGGCGGACCCCACGGCCTGCCCAGACAGAAAGCGGCAAACCTGTCCCCGAGCCACTTTGCCTGGCGGCCAGCACCGGACCCTGAGCTTGCACAGACCCGGCAGACCCCAAGGAGAGGGGAGGGGCCTGCCTTGTGGGCACCTCCCCTGCTGGGCTCACAGGCCCACTAGCCCTCCCCCCCAAGCTCCAGGAAAAGCATGGGAGCTGTGGCCAGAGCGACTGATCCCTGGGACCCCAAGCCCAGCAGACGCTGGGCCCTCAAGGTAAGTGCTGAGGGTGGGGGCGCGGGCTGGAGGCTCCCAGGCCTCTTAGGAGAGGAGTCGGCAGCCCCCTGCAGCCCCACACCCCCTCGCCAGCTCCTCTCCACTCACCTGGGCCCGGGCTGGCGAGCAGGGCAGTATTTGCTCAGCAAATATTGTCCGGGACGAGGCAGCCAGACAAGCACTATTTGTTGTCATCCCGTTAACAGTGTAGCGGAGAGAGAGCTCTGAGAGGTGGCACCCGCCTCTCTCCGTCCACACAGAAGCCTCGAGGGGCAGGGAGGGAGGGAGGACAGGGAGAACCTCCAAGTATCCATTTTATCGCCGCCCCACCGCGTCCAGCGGCGGCGCCTCCCCAGCACATCCGGAGCCCCATGAAGCGACACTTTGATCGAGAGGAGACAATTGCCAAAAGGTCCGATCGTGCAGCCCGACGGGCCCCCTCTTGGACGTAGACAATGTTCCTCCCCAGGAGCCCGAGACGCGAACGCCCCCGGCAGCTGGGAGCCCCGAAGGGGTGGGCGGCCGCCGCCCCAGCCTGGGGTTCCCCGCCCGCCCCCCGCGCCGCCGCACGCACCTCCAGGGCCTCCAGCGAGCTGAAGCTGGCGATGGCGAAGCCGTCGATGACCTCCTCCTCCTGCGAGCTGGACTCGCGGCGGCGGCGGCGCGGGGGGCGCGCGGCGGCGGCGCGGGGCGGGGGCGCGCGGGGCAGGCCCGCGTTCTCCTTGCCGGGCCCGGGCTCGGGCTCCTCGCCCGACGAGGCGCTCTGGTCGCGGGCGTCGCGGGCCGCCTCCCGACGCCGGCCCCGGTCCCGCTGCGCGCGCGAGCGGCGGCTCGGGCGGACCTTGGCCTCCATGGCGCGCGGTGACCTTGCGGCCGCGCCGTCGGGCTCCGGCTGCCGCTGCTGCTACTGCGTGGCCGCCGGCGGGCTCGGTGCGGGCCGCGCGGGCGGGGGCCGTGGGCGGCGGCGGCGGCGGCGGCGGGCGGCGGGCCGGGCCGGGCATGCCGCGCCGGAGCCCTCAGCCCTGGGCCCGGAGCGGCCCGGGCGCCGCGGGGCGGGCGGCCGCGCGCGTCGGCGGGGCGGGCGGCGCTCAGCGGCTGCGGGCCGCCTCGGCGGGGGCGCGCCCCATGCGCGGCGCGCGGCGGGCCGGGCGGGCGTCGTCGGGGCGCGGGCTGGAGTGAGGCGCCCGGGACCGTGAGGCGGCGGCGGCAGCGGCGGGGACCGGAGCTGATAACAACTGACGTACTTCCGCCCGGCAGCCGGCGCCAGAGGAAGTGGGCGCTCCAGCGGCCCGGCGCGAGCCCCGCCCAGGACACGCCCCTTCTCCGCCCGGCACGCCCAGGGACGTCCCTTCCAGCCCCGCGGCGCCCCTTCTAGGCCCCGCCCAGGCTGTGCTCCGCGCCTTCGGCCACACCCACCAAGTCCCCGCCCCCAAGCGCGCCATTGGCTGGGCCTCGTAGCCCCGCCTCAGGCTAACCAGGCCCAACCCCTTTAGGCCCCGCCCCGCCCACTCACCGTTGGCTGCGCCTCGTAGCCACGCCTTCCGCTGGCTAGGCCCAACCCCTTTAGGTCCCGCCCCGCTGGCCCTCGCGCCGTTGGCTGCGCCCCGTAGCCCTGCCTCCCGCTGATAGGCCCAACCTCTTTAGGCCCCGCCCTCCCGGACAGCGAGCCTCTGCCAAGCCCCGCCCCCGTATAAGCCCCGCCCTTATGGGTGGGGCTTGGACGCCCCGCCCCTCTCTGGTCTCCCCGGCCCTCCCTGTTGCACAGCGAGGTTTGGGGGGCGGGAACGCCACCCTCTCTCCGGGGTGCGGGCCCGAGGGGTCCCTAGGCCTCCGCAGTCGCGGCCTCAGTTCCGGAAGGCACTTGCAATGAGAGCACGTGGGCAGAGAGCGGGGGACCCCTCCAGCCCGACGGGACACGTGGTGGAGGGTCAGGCTCACCGTCACCCCGAAGCTGGAGGTCGGCACGGGGTGTGCAGGATGGGATGTTCTGGTCCCCACTCCGGACACCGCGGGGAGGGGGAGGTCGGAGGGGGGTCTGGCTGGGCGGGTTCTCACGGAGCCTAGAGACCCCGCCCACCTGCCTGGGGATGTGAAGGCCAGGGGAGGGGTTCTTGGCTTCAGCCCCACCCCCATCCCTGCCCAGGCTGTCTCCCCCTCCCCCTGCCCTTCCCGTCAGGCTCTCCCTGTCCCCCACCCCGTAGGCAGCCCCCAGGTTCAGGTCTGAGGCGGGGAGTTCCACAGACAGACATCCTCCTACCCCTCCCGGGGTTTGGTCCCCAGGGGTCAGGCAGGTCTCCCCAGGCCAGCGCCCCGCCCCAAGGCTCCCTGTGGGGACGGCCTGGCCCTTCCAGACGGAGGCCCCTGGGATGGCATCCTGGGCTGCCAGGTTCGCACAGAAACAATCCCCCAGCCCCGGCCCCAACTCACCCCCTCCCAGGCCCTGCCCCGTACCCCACCCAAGAGGACCCACCCTTCCCGGGAGAAGGGATCCCACACCACGGACACTGCCCACCCCAGCCGGCCTTGGAAGCACTGGCCCATCACCCTGTGGCTGCAGCCAGGTCGCCCCTGGTCCCACCCCACAGCCAGGCCTGCCCTGGTCCCACCCCACAGCCAGGCCTGCCCTGGTCCCACCCCACAGCCCAGCCTCCCTGGTCCCACCCCACAGCCCAGCCTCCCCTGGTCCCACCCCACAGCCAGGCCTCCCCTGGTCCCACCCCACAGCCCCGCCCTCCCCTGGTCCCACCCCACAGCCAGGCCTCCCCTGGTCCCACCCCACAGCCAGGCCTGCCCTGGTCCCACCCCACAGCCAGGCCTCCCCTGGTCCCACCCTACAGCCCCGCCCTCCCCTGGTCCCACCCCACAGCCCCCCCTCCCCTGGTCCCACCCTACAGCCCCGCCCTCCCCTGGTCCCACCCCACAGCCCAGGCCTCCCCTGGTCCCACCCCACAGCCAGGCCTCCCCTGGCCACCGCACTCAGAGCTGAGAGGCCTGGTGACTCTAGGACTCTGAGCATCATTAATGGACATGAACTTGTATTCACCATTCAGTTTCCTCTCGCCAACCCGACTCAGCCCGGGGCCTCGGCTCCCGGCTCCAGTGGGGTTTCTGCAGACGCTCTGCGCGCAGCCCGCTGACCGGCCGGCCCAGGACCCGGAACGCCGTGTGCCCACCACGAGAGGGTCTGGCTGCTCCCTGCTTCCCGGCCCCAGGGAACGGGCAGCACCTCGGTGTGTCTGGATGCTCAGCCCCTTCCCTGGCACTGGCACTGGTGCGGGTGCGGGCGGCAGCTGCCCTCTGGCCCGGCCAGGGAACGGCAGGTACAGGAACCAGCAGCCCCCCGGCTCCCTGCCGGAGCACCCCATGTTTAGTCTTGGCCACGGATCTGCAGGTTGACGGAGGACGGGCTGTGCTTTGGACGGAGGGTCAGGTTCAGGTCTGTCCCAGAAGGTCTCTCGGACCCGGGCCGCGAGAAACGCGACAGCTGGGGCCAAGCGGCTCCCTCTGCTTTAGGCCTCGCCCTGTCGGCTCACAGGCCAAGACCGGGGTCCCCGGGGCACTAAGTGGAGCCCCCCACTCCAGTGGGGGCAGCAGCCATGTGCCCAGGAGCTGTGTGTGTGTGGGGGGGTCCTGCTATGAGGGGCCCCCTGAGTCTCTTCCCCTCATTCCTTCCCCTCAAGATCTGCTCGGGGTTGGATTCTGGACCCACTTCTACTCCAGGGGCTGGCAACTGTCCAGACTCCCCCAAACCCCCACCCCCACCCTCTGGGGTGGCTCCGGCTGGGTCTGTCCCAGGGCGGGGCCGCAGTGTTAATTAATTCCTCGGAATTAAGTCCCCGGGGTCAGGGCCGCCCTCACAGGGCCCCGAGCGCGTCCAGCAGGCAGTCTGTGCCCAGAGGCCCCGCCAGGCGCCGCGTTTTGCTACCGTCCCACCTGCAGGAGGGTGGGGACGGGGGCGTTTTAGACGTGTGTCCCTCAGGGTGCGGGAGCTGAGTGCACAGAACTCCACACGCTCCAGCTGCTGTTCTTTTCTTTTTTTTTTGGTTGTTGTTGATCCTCACCCAAGGATATCTTCCCATTGACTTTTTAAAAATATACATTTCTTTATTGATTTCAGAGAGGAAGGGAGAAGGAGAGAGAGGTAGAACCATCAGTGATGAGAGAGAATCATTCATTGATTGGCCACATCAATGAATGCCCCACACTGGGGATCAAGTCGAAACAAAGGCACGCGCCCTTGGCTGGAATCGAACCTGGGACCCTTCAACCCGCAGGCTGACGTTCTACCCACTGAGCCAAGCCCATTGATTAAAAAAAAACAACAACAACATATATATATATATATTTTACAGAGAGGAAGAGAGAGGGATAGTTAGGAACATTCATGAGAGAGAAACATTGATCAGCTGCCTCCTCAGGCTGATGCTCTATCCACTGAGCCACGCCGGTCAGGGAATTTTAATGTTATCTCACTGGTTTTTAGAGAAAGAAAAGGAGAGAGAGAGACATGGGTGGGCTGCCTCCCGCACCCCCTCGCTACACCTGGGACAGGAACCCGCCTGGGACGCCCCCTGACCAGGACCCCAGCACGGGGACGAGGCTCTGCCAGGACCCACGCCGGCCAGGGCACCGTGTTCCTCCTCTGCTTCTGGCTCCCGGGACCCTCGCAGGAGCCGGTCCCGTCCCCGGGGCCATGGAGGCTGGAGTCTCGGGTTAGCCTGGGTCACGTGTGGTGACCGAGCACAGGCGCCGGGCTCCAGAGGGGAGACCTGACACCACGGCTCCGGCAGCGTCTCCGTTTCGAAGATTCCGAGCCCGATCAGAGTGACTCCGCAGCGGCTTGCCGGCCGGGCGGGGGTGGACAGTCCCCCCGTCACCGCGGAGGGGCTGGGATAATCCCCACACCCCTCTCCCCGCCACGGCCCCCCACGCCCGCCCACCCCACCCACAGGGCTTCCCCCTCCTCCCTGCCCGTTTCTACCGGTCACACCTGAATCTCCTTACGTACCTGTTCTATGACTCTTCCTGTTTTTTATTTTTTTACTTATTTATTTTTAAAAATATATTTTATTGATTTTCCACAGAGAGGAAGGGAGAGGGATAGAGAGCTAGAAACGTCGATGAGACAGAAACATCGACCAGCTGCTCCCTGCATGCTCTCCACTGGGGATGTGCCCGCAACCCAGGTCCATGCCCTTGACCGGATAGGAACCCAGGACCTTTCTGTCCGCAGGCCGACACTCCATCCACTGAGCCACACCGGTCAGGGCCTCTCTCTCTTTTTTAAAAAAAACATGTGTCTAAAAAGTGTATTTATTGATTTCAGAGAGGAAGGGAGAGGGAGAGGGGACATCCATGAGGAGAATCAGGGACCGGCTGCCTCCTGCACGCCCCACCCTGGGGATTAAGCCCACAACCAGGGCCTCTGCCCTGACCAGGAATCGAACCCTGACCTCCTGGTTCCTAGGTCAATGCTCAGCCCCGGAGCCTCACCGGCCGGGCTTTGGGGAGCATCTGTGTGGCCTGGGAGCCGCACCCGGACCCCGGGCGTGGGCGGGGAAGGAGGCAGGCACCCCTGGCTCACACTTCGGCGGGTTCGGTCAGGTGAGGGCAGGGCCCCTGAGAGTGCCCTGAGGAGGGGGCAGGGTGGGGAGCTGTGGGATCAGGGCGAGGAGGGTGGGCAGGCGGGAAGGGCCCTCCTCTCCCTCCCCGGGGAGGGCGTCTGGCTCTTCAGCCCAGGCTGCTGCCGCTGGGAGCAGGCCCCCCCGGTCGCGTGCGCCCTCTGACCCCGGCAGGCGGCCTGGCCCGGGCCCCGGGGAGCGGCCCCTGCCAGCTGGCCCACGCGCTCCTGCGGGCTTCTCCATGGCAACGGGGGCCGGCGGCCGGCTGGCAGCCGCTCCGGGAGCCTCTCAGAGGTGAGCCCGGCTCGGCCGGAGGGGGACAGCCGGCTCCGCGGCCGCTCCACAGCCGGAGGGGGACCCCGTGCCCCGCGCTCCCGGCCTGAGGGTTCCCGC